TTTTTGCTACCTTGAATTGCTTCCTAAATTGGCATTTGGAATAACTTGTCAAAATAAAAGCTTAAGTTGATGAAAGGCCAGTTGATACGCATTGCAATCTCGTATGACTAGAAATGCTGAATGCTAGAAAGGCGTGTATTATATTACTATCAAGGTTCAGAGTACTTGATATTAAAATGATTGTCTTTGATCCGGCTGTTCAGTTTGTCCTACCACAAAATTCTATGTACATCAACCCACAGTTTGAAATATTATTGAACGTTCAATCAGCAGTGTTGTAGTCAAGACCAATTAAGACCAACACAAGACCTCCAGTCTGAATTCAAGTCACATCTATTCTAATGAACTGCAACAAAAGCAGGCTTTGTCATTGTTCAACCTGTTACTTGTGACTGGTCTTGTGACTGGTCTTGTGATGGTCTTGTGACTGGTCTTGTGATGGTCTTGTGACTGGTCTTGTGATTGTCTCGACTACGACACCATCGATATGTGTTGAAATATGAATTTATCTTGCCTTGAACTTAGCTTTAATTGATAAACAATGTTTAATTTACAGGCTCAAATGCTTTATAATGAGTGAATTTTTCTTCATTGTTTAGAAAGACCTGATCTGTATAGAAATTCACATTACTGCACTAGGGATGTTTAAATCTTGATCACACAGTACATGTATTTACATTATGTTTTATGTATCAAGTTAATGAAGGAATGATTTAGTATTTTTTTCATTTTCCCCGACAAGAGGAAAAAGAACTGTTCCTTAAATTGTGAACAAAATCTGAGGGTGTTGACCGTCGCTTTTGGTGTAATTCCAGTCTGTGAGAGAGGAGCCGAAACCACCAATAAATTCACATCAGCCACACAGTCAATGTGTTTATGGTCTTCCGTTTGTTTATTCTAATTCCTAGCATGTTTAATCATTCAAAAGTTAACTTTATAGTACTGTTATACACCCCGAATCGACGTTTCTCATCTTTTCAAAATTATACATGACTTGAATGCATATTTTATAACGTGTATTCGAAAAGAAATGTTCTCAGACATATACAGCTGTTGCAAGGTTGCTGCCCAAGTTTGTGGTAAAATATAAAATGCGCCCTCTATTCGCAGGCCGGCCTAAATGCATCACTATAATACTGTTCAATCCAAAATTACAGTGATTCATCGCATCAAAAAGTAAAGTATATCTTGTGTACTATGTACACGTACTTTACATTACATTTGAAACAAGAACCCTTACACTAAGTGCGAATGTTACATGAATAAGTGAGGCCTTATACACATTGTAAAGGACTAAAACATTTGAAGCTGTAACAAATTAAAAGGGCAATTGTAGCCAAAGAACATTTGGGAATCAAACATTTCAAATAACTACAAAATGATCTTACAATCGTACAGTCTTTATAGCGAGTTCTCAGGGTACGGGGAACAGAAATCAGACCCCAATTCAAGATTTACTCAGCATTACGTGCTGAACATAATCCACAGCATATTTATCTTAAGCACGAGAGCCAAAACTACGTAAACCAACAAACAATTGACACAGTCACCAATAACGGCTATTTGACTTGTTAAAAAATATCAGTTACAAAAACTTCAATCATTATACTTATTATAATCGTCACTTTTGTCCGAAAACGATCTGAAGCAGAGCCCCTCTTCAATTAATTGCTGGCATCCCCATGAAGAAATGGCGTCTTCAAGGAATGGGCGTGGCTTCATTTGAGTGACAGGAATAACATACCCCTCAGGGCTGTGTAATCCTGCATCTGTAATGAGGTACGTACGCGTGCGTTCTGTGAATAGCAGAAATCGTCGTACGTGCTCCATGCTCAGCTGTATTGTGTTCCCTAAACTCAAGAATTTGCCCCTGTCGAAATCCAAAGAAGAACCCAAAGTTCCTTGAGTTTCGGCATCCTAGACGTCGATTTCTAGTTTGATGTAAAGTACAGTGACAATCGAAGAGTAAATCTTGCCATGGGATTGGGAACGGTGAAGATGCTCCTGCCTCTGCAGATGATGACAGCATTGCTTGTGACCGCCTCGGCTCTGGAATTCTCATTCGGTAAGTGGAAACAAAAACTACTCTGTGGAATCTGCTCTCTGTTGTTGAGTGATCTCTGACGGGGCGCCGTTATCTTACTGTCTTGGGAGTAAAGTAGTCGTCTGGAGGAAGTAACAGAGATATAGAATTATGTAATTATATTGTAAGCGTTTATAATAAATAAGGCAGAAGATGTAGTCAGTACAGTGCACAGGTGGGAATCCATGATCCAAGATGGCCGCGCCTATAGATGTTTGGGTCGATGGACGCAGTGTTCGTTCACGGTTACTGAGCTTTTGATCTACTGGCATCATCAGCCATAGACGAATGTTTAGATTCTAAGACAAGAACAGTCTTTCATCTTCTCCTGTATTTATAATCCCCGCCTTCAAATGAAGCCATTGTAGATGAACTACATGTGTAAGGGTGTTTCAAAAGACTGATCATCGTGATTGAGAAATGTCTCTGATGTCATTTAGTTTTCAACAAATTCTTATGGTGCAAATTTGAACACTACGGACGATACTAAGGTCAAGATGAAGTGGAGACTTTTCTCTTTTTTGAAAATTATATTTGATGACTATTTGCTGGGAAAGAGTTCTACATACGGGCGCCACTTGACATTTCATGCACAAACCCCCTATTAGACTGGTCAGAAAAATTCTTAGTGTTTTCTAAGTAAACAACTTGGGATTTCCCTCCTAAATTGAACTTTTCTGGACATGTTTTGCTTTTCGAACGCTCATAAGTCACTGTATGGAATAATTACTGGCGTCTGTGTGTGGAACTCTTCCCATTTCCTGTAATGAAATTTAAATTTACGTGCTAAAATAATAGATGATTTTTTATACGGATCTGAAATGTTTTTAATGATTATTATTTTTTTCGCAGAGATGTCCAATGATTGGCTCCCGGGAACAATGAGATCTCTTCAAAAGATGTCATTGTTACTATTGCTCTATTATATGTAGATGTACGGGAGTAGCCAGCAGAAGCAGAAGCTCTATTTCTCTTTTGAATCAATTTTGGAAATGTAAATGAATAATTCAGCCACAAAGCTATGCAGAACAAAAAATGGACATCATGATGTCTTCAGTAGTTTCAACATCACGTCCAAAATAATAATCACAATTTGTTGGATGTTTTACGTTCAAATTATTCAACAATGAGAAATAGCGATAAGAATATTCTTTGATTTTTTCGTAACTAAACACACCACATCTCATCTTTATATGAACGAGGAGAACAAACTTTTACTAAATAGACGTGAACGTGAGGGGGAGGTAGTGATGTGCTGTCAGCTGCTTTATTTCTTCTCACCAACCCCAGCTGGTTCTGTCCACCAATATGTGAACTGTTGTTGCCAGATTCAACAAAAGTCTTGTTGGTAGTTTTGGTTTTTATGTTTGCTCGTTGGCCTGCGATAGCTCACTGTGAAAATTCGAAGTTCCCACCGCTGAGCTATACGACACTGTGTTAGCATGACTAAATCATTGAAATTCACAATGAATAGGCATTGTAACCCTATTCACAAAGGCAATGAAAGCAAGAGGATTGGGAGGAATTTTGCATTCCTGTTTTTGCCCCCAAAATATATGGTGATAATATTTTAATTTTAAAACACAGAAACACCCTTTTTGGTAAGAATTCCATATACGGACAACATTATTTTCCCTTAAATGTTGTAACAACCATTAGAAAGTGTTAACATGTCTTAAAAAAGTGAAATGGGGGTAAGAAAATTCTAAAGCATTTAATCGAAAACGTTCAGATTTGTTTAGACAAGTCTCATAGGTTTGTGCACAGGGGCATCAAATGTTGTCCGTATATGGAACTCCTCCCCCTTTTTGTATTCCAAATATCTTGCTTTTAAATTGTAGTTTCAATAATGTGTTAAACAATAGCATTTTTTGGCAGAAAGAACCATTCATTGTTATTTTTCTGTAATCTGAACATTTGGTTCCTGATACTCTTCCATTTTTGTATATTTCTTCACAGTTATTCTTTGAAACTAGAAATAAAACCAAAAAATCTTGACCTCTAGTCGAGAGCAAACAGCCGAACAGCTCCCCTCAGGCAGGGACAAATTCACCACCCCTGTCATTAAAATGCAGAGGCCCAGCTTTTATAACAGCTCGGCTATTGTATTTGGATTTAGTCACCGAGAATGAATTTTTCAATTCCTGAATATAATGGCCGTAGAAAAACGTTGGAATTCGTATTATATAGCGCTCCATGAATAGTCCTTTTGTTACGCTGGTCGAAACCTCCTTCACTTCCTTGGAAGAACCAAAGTTGCGTTTCATGATTTCCTGGTCTGTAAACTATTTTCAAAAATGACCATGGGGAAATTAGAACACAGATAACTAAAGATGCAGTTACGTTTCAAAGAGGATCATTCCACAAGGAAACAAACAAAATAGTTCCACACATGATGATGTTTAGCTAGTTATAATTATAGGCTGTTGCTGTGTTTTGGAAGAATGCCCGAGTAGATTTTACAAATCACGCAAGTGCTCCAATTGAGTTTGTTTTTGTTACACATATGACTTTTTGCAATGCTGGATGAAAACCAAATCTTCTGTTCTTGAACTTTTTTGCGTTGTATTTTCCACTAATCAATTCTGAAAGACTTGACGTAGTTTTTGAAGCATTCTTACAGTGTACATGTCCTTAAAAGTACAGTTGTGTATTTAGATATAGATGTCAGCAGTAAACAGTTGGTATTTCACCTTAATTGGTTCCCAGCTGAGATCGGGGAATACGTTGCCAGTGGGATAGCCGTCGCCGTGGCAACACTTATACATAAATATAACAACATTGGTTTTTGTTTTGAATGAGAAAAACATGTCGGCGGGTGGGCGAGGAATATGTTGTCAAGCTGCTGTTCGCCGTATTACCCCTGGCCAAGGATTTTTTGAAGTTGTGTTTAGCTTACTAAATTTCTGAAAATATTGATATTTTGCACTTGCGACATGACTGTACTATGCCAAGCCTAGGTGTGCCAATTCGTGGGTTACAAATCCACAGGAAAGCTTAATATAAACCGAAATTTTAAGATCCTTTTTGTTTCCCCTTTTTTCCTATGTCCGTCCATTGAAAATATCCGAAATCAGCTACAAATCGGAGTCCATGGACTTACGTTTCCATTTGTGAAGTTTAGGCCTACTTTCTCGCAAGACTGACCTTGTCATCACTCCTATAAAAGTAAATGAAATAGAAATGCAGATGGTATCAGTCCGACCACGAAGCAGGGAAAGAGACGAATTAAGTGAAGTTATCAAAATAAACAATTTCTCTGAAATGGTAACGCTTCTTCAACTATACATCCAATTAACATTGTGTTATCACCCTGAGGATATTTTTAATGAACCGCAAAAAAGTGAGCATTTTTTGTTCAACTGTTTGATTTTACTTGTTGGATCGTCATTAGTGAAGCAGTATACAGTCTATTTGGATGTCACGATACTACATATCGCTGAAATCAGTGAAATAATACGGCGCTTGAATTTATGTTAACAATATATATATATGTTCGATATGCTAATTAGTTCAAATCTCTCTTGACAGGCTCAGTTCTTTGAATATCTACTCTAAGTAGTGAAAGGAGGCCATCAAATCAAAATAACTTGAGTTTACTTTACTTAATTACAGATTATTTTGTTTCGTTGAACTCTTTTTTTGAAACGTCCGCATTTATCGTTCGATATTCGGGTTTTTTTTTCATAAAAGCAAACCTACAGGTGTGTACCTGTAGGTTACATCACTCCTTGCACTATTTTCCATATGCATGTTAGTCACCGCTTTGGGTGTGGTCTCTATGGTTTGACATGGCGGTTTGATATTTTGCGCGTGCAACAACAGGGCATCTGCGCGACTGGTACACCATTGCATTACCGCACCATTCGGTTCAGTGGTTACGCACAATAGACTGGGCTGTTGGTTTACAGGCATGCTATTATGTTGTAACCTACCCTTACATCTACACGACAGCATGACAAAGGCTTTTTCGGCGCCATTTTCTCAACCGACATCCAAGCAGTTTAAATTTTGCAACCGTCACCCGCCAGAAGGCGGTAAAACGGCGATTTCTGGTTCTCAACAAATGGAGAGTTTGGATTGGGCAATGATGACTTTAGTGGAATGTTCTTTCCACTTGAAAAATTGTGCTAGAGTCTAGTTAGAAAGTGTTTGGGATAACTGTTTAGTAATTTTACATGTCCTTGAGGGAAATAAATAGAGCAATTCTGCCATACTGTTCGGAAACACGGAAAATGAAATGTTTTAAATCACGAAATTTACCCACACTTCCTCTCTCATAGCCAAGAAAAAAAAAATACTCAGTAATCATGATCTGTTTGCAACCCACTCCCAATTCCCAAAGTCGTACATGGGTTGATCGAATTTCTTGCCGATATTTTTCCGTCATGTTACTGAGAAAGACATTTAATAAATAGCTCAGGTTTTGCTGCTTCGAACTCCATCTGCCGTGCTCGAAGGACCCTAAGTTCTTCCCTGCGTACCCTCAGTTTGCTTCTCAAGAATGCCCAGACCTGTAATTTCCCCCTCCTCCCAAAAGGGACTGAGATAATCAGTAGACTTACAAGCGACTAATCCCATAAACAGTTCTCATGTCAGGATTCGAGGACAACATGTGCACATGTACTGTTAAGTACCCATCAGATGTCGCCGGCCATGTGAATTCTCACTTTTAATTTTCACACTCTTCAGTAAATGAGACACTCAAGCTCGTACCTTATTTGACAAAAATCCTTTCCTCCTCTCAAACATTAAAGCACTGCAAAGTAGTCTTGCCATCTGTACAAAATATCAGAAAAGGTAGAAAGAAACTGCAAGTTATTTATCAACAGTCATTCTCAACCAGATACACAAAGAATAGTTAATAGTCCCAGTCCTCTAAAATCGTGCCTCTTGTTGGAGATTTGTGGCAGTTTGTCCTTTAGGACTATTGGCAATCGGTCAGCCTGATGTGAAGCAACTTGGACCTTGTCGTTATACTTACTTCCACAAATCTGCAAAAGTCTTGCATTTTGGGGGTATAGTTCATATACGAAGCAGGCACTGTGGTGATTTTTACCCACTGTCTTTGTGGATGACGCAGGCAAAAGAGAAACAAACCTCTTGTATCTTCTTCTCACAGAATCCTTCTATGGCAACATATCGGACGTCGACGATGAATACAAACGAATCGTGGATGATGCTCAACGCTATGTCAACATCCAATACCCGCAAGACAACATCAAAGTTACTCATTTCCAGGCTCGAGTGGCACCTGCTCCTCCTAACGAGAAGGAGTTCAGCACTAACTCCTTTCAAGCCCTCAGACTCGGTAAGATGGAGTTTAAGAGTGATCGCTTCTTAAGTTTGTCAAATGAGGGCAAATTGGCTCAGAAGGCATAGTCATTATTGCCAATAAACTGCACAGTGAAATTGCCTGTGAATTCATAGACCCGTCCACCGCCTTTTGTGAGAAATAACCGCGATGTAGTCGTGAAAGGAAGATGAAAGAAGAAAGCGATTTAATTGGCCAATGATATACATATAGATGTACAGCACTAAAAAAATAACAGATGGTCTTGAACTCCAAACCTGCCAAATCAAGCAGTGTCAACGGTGGAAACATTGTGCTTTATTTTGTTTATTAACAACGTAATTCTCTCTTATTTCTTGGACTCGGCCAGGTGTTAAACTCAACTGAGTCGGAACAGAAATATGTTTGCAAAAGTTCTTGTCGGGGTTTGGATTAGTGAACTTCAGTCTATTAGATTTTCCACTGACTAATAATATTTGACCACAATTGAAACCTCCTTTTTGAACTCCATCGAGCAGAGTATTGTATCAAGTAGCTATTTTCACATCGCCGCATCGACTCATGTTTTCACGTAGCTTATACCTGTCAGCATTGGCTGGGTTCAAATGAAGAAATCTAAATTAAGATCGTTTGTTTTTGATTTGATTACTTCCGTGGACAGACGTGTGTCCAGGAATCTTCTCGGCCAGTGTACAGGGCTTGATCGTCCCCAACGATCTGTGCTACGAGTGCCGATCCGTGGGTGCCATGGTGGGCAATGCTGTCAACCCTACCATCGCTTTAGACCAGGCCGAGGGCTCTCGAGCCTTTAAAATGCTCCCCACCACATCAGAAATGGTGGATATGTTCGTTCATCTCATCAATTACACCAAGTGGTATGACTTCATCGTCTTGTACGATCAGGATTCTGGTAAGTGTCTAATCCATTCGGTCATCCATACTTCATGAAAATGTACTCCGCTTCAATAGCTTTTATAGCGCATTTTGAGATCTGTAATACCACACTAAACTAAGTGGAACTTTAAAACACTTTATTAATCGATTCGACATGACAGGTCTCGATGTCGCCGATGCGTTGATGGGCTATGCGGATATGTACGGTTGGAATGTGAAGATGCAGAAAGTGACAGATCATAAGCTGCTGACAGAAACACTGAAAGCTTCGAGGGTTCGGAACCTTCTCCTTTACTGCGAGTACCAGGAAAATGCCATGGAGGTTGTGCGCTTGGTAAGTCCTCAGGCACAATCAGTAGACTGCATTATAACTGGCATTTTGAAGCTACTCTATATTTAAATGTAGAAGTGACAAATTTTGACAAATTTTTGTTATTGAGAGACCCAAAGGATTTTACACAGTCACTACTAACATAAGTTAAAATAAGTTGTACTTGTAACAAGTCGTCCCTATCGTTGCTCATACATTCTACACGGTTACTCCCTTTTTAGGCTATTGAAGAGGATATGATGAAGGACTCCTACCACTGGATGCTAGGCAACTTGGTAAGCAGGAATTATAACCAGGAATAATAAACCAAAGACAAACCCTTAAGCTGAGTCCTTACCTAGCATCTTTGTGTCTCTACGAACAAACGAACTTTGGCCAATTTGTGGAACGAAGAAAAGCATATTTACCCGGCATATTTTTGTTGAACTTATGTGTGTGGATGAAGTGGTTGATGAGCATCTCAAATTTAGAAGCATTTTGACCGTCTTAGATTGTAAGTTTTAAGCACATGAGATGTGGCCACATCTCAGGTGAATTTCTCCGCCTTTCTGAAGAGTTGCCAACGGCATTTTTTTGTACACCATTCCATTATATTTATCCATTGAAAAATAATTTCCTCGCCCAGAATATGCCGCTAACGTGGGATGACGTCGACAAGATCCGGAGGGGTGGGGCTTATATCACCCGCCTCCAGATGCTGACGAAGAACAACGTGGCTTTCGACTACACGACTCAGAAGGCGGAGCCATTAGACGAGTGGCCCTACCGTCTCAGACTTGCCTATGATTCCGTGCTCCTGTTCGCTCACGCCCTCCAACGGTACAAACAGAGGACTGGTCGCTTCCCTACCGATCGAATCTTCTGTCAAACGATGGAGGATTATACCTACAGCCCAATGGACCCCGAACTGAAAAGCGTAAGTTAGAAAACCCCATTCATTTCTTTATCTGTCCTATTCACAGTCATTTTTAAGACAGACCGGCTAAATCAAAAGCTTTTAAACTTTGAAAACAAGTGTTTGCTCTATCTGTTTAAAAGAAATACCTTGTTAACAACGAATAATTTTAATTTTTTTTAATATAAAAATAAACCAGCATTTTTTTATATCCTTTCCTCCAAAACATCCCCTCTTTGTCGTGTTTTGCTGTGCACGCTTCCAAAATTCTAATGAGGTTATATATTTCAATGTTTGTCAAATTTGTAGGTCAGTTTTGAAGGATTGAGTGGTGAAGTTGCCTTCGATGAGCACGCCAATCGTGTTAACTACACTGTTGACATCTACATGGGCAAAGGAGCAACAGTGTACGTGCATAATGACGTCGAGGTAAGTCATGAATAAAACGGTAGCCATTCATATTAAATTAGCTATGGGGAAGTCAGTTTAGTGACAATTTTGTGAAAACAACAGCAGCTATCGTAAAAGCTTGAATGATTTCAATCTGCATTGTTAAAAAGGTTTTCTTCATTATTACTGCACACAATTTTTGGTTTCAAACTTCCTAGTTAAGTATTTTGGGAGATTGACTGATGTGCTGAAAACCAAGTACATCTGCGACTGTTGGTGAAATTCACTGCCAAAACACTCAGGTATGTTTAAATCTAACAGTGAATTTTTATTGATTATGTAGGAAGTCAAACCGCTGGGGACATGGACACAGAATATTAAACATTGGGAGCTGAAGTACGGCAGACAATGGCCGAGCAAAACTCGCCTTTACATGGGTCCTTTCAGGAATGCAGAAGTCTACACCATCAAGATCGTCTCTCTAGAGGTAAGACGCCAGGGCGCCATCTCGTGACTAAGACTTTCAAGGTTAAGTTTCTCTGCCAGTTGCCTAGCATCTTTGTCGGCTGGCTTGAAATGGACGTTCAGGAACTCGCCCAAATGTCTGAATATTATACGCCAAAATACGTTTGAGGGAATGAAACAAATCCGAAGTTGTTATTATGACTTGGTATGAATATGACCCTGCAGATTAATTTCATAATTCAAGCTTCTTATAGGACGATTTATTTTGTTGATAAATGACAAACTTGTGAACCTGTTAATTCATCTCTATCATAATCAAGCTATAGGCCTACAAATGTACCGTTTCCTCTGTAACATTGTTTTACTTATATGACTTGACCTCAATTTCATGTTGAATCCAAATGCGCGTACACCAGTTGCCGACATCCAATGGCGACCTTTAGGATTTTTCAAGCAGCAGTTGGTAATGCCCCAATACTTTTTAGTTGATGTCCGTTAATACGTGGCGTTGTTTGTTTAAACTCACACCCTCTGGGGACTCGTGTTGACAGGCGAATGCCCACAATAAAGCCCGATGTGTGAATTCGGTAAAAGACACGGAGTGACACTTTGCACTTTTACCCACTTAAGGGTAAAAGCGCATGTGTTATACCTTTTCATCGCTAGACAGTCCAGCGATCATAACTCGTATGGTGCTGAAGAGTTATTACCCGTCAGAATTTGGCCCAGTCTTTCAAGGTACCTCGGGACCAAGGCCATGAAATACAGATGTTGTTGTCGAAGTCTTTCTGAGTTCGGTGATAATCATATTTTACAGAATACCGAGTCCAATGTATGGCGCAGTTGCAAAACCCACTTATCTCTAAAAAGGGAAAAATTAAGCTTTATGAGACGATTCTGTGCCTGTGAATAAATAATTTCAGCTTGCCCTAAAATGCCATTGATATTGAAGATATATCTCATCTAAAAATCAAATACGTCCAGGCGTTGTAATACAAAGCCATTTATTCATTTAGGCTGAATGGGATTCGGACCTCCACCCTTTATGTCAGTGGGCAAGTTTCCAAGCAACTCTAACTGTTCCTCGGCTTTCTGAACTCATGTGACAGATCTTGACGGCCAAAGTACCGATGAAATCAGAACCCGAAAGAGTGGCATGCGACGTGTAAATTTGGGGTGACTTTTCTCGTGGATTAATTTTTTAGTATCTCAGTGAACTCTCTTACCTTCTTCCTTTCTCGATGACGCGATATTGACATGTCTTCAATCCTCTCTCAACGGGAGTCTTGACTGCATTGCAGTATTGTCGTGAAATATTTCCTTCAAATGTTCTTAGTCTAGGCATCGCAGACATAACCTCTCAATCTTTTGTCTCCTCGGTTTTCTTTCATTCCAGGAGCCGCCATATCTCCTTGACGACAGCCGAGTCGGTATCCAAGGTTTCATCCCCGAGTTTCTTGTCCATCTTAAGCGCGTCATGGAGGAGGAACTGGGACACAATTTCGATTACGAACTGGAGTTGGTGTCTGAAGGAGACTACGGCAGATACGACATCGTGACCAACAGTTGGAGCGGCCTGATGGGGAGACTAGTCAACGGGGTACGTATCTCTGGACCCAACTTCATGGTTTTAAATATCTTGATGTTGATAAGTTAAATACAATAGAGTGCGGCCGTTAATTAGACCCTTTTATTTCATAGTCGTACATTTTCCCTCCAGTAGTTGGCAAAGTATGGCTGGACAACCTCATAAAAGCAAGAGAATCTTTGACCAGTGTTGAAACACAATGCAAGCAGTAGTAAATACTCAAAGAAATACCTCCGTTTAAATTGTGTGGTTTACATGTGCTTGTGAAACCCCAAATTATTTGATGCAATATCAAAAATTATCAGAAATCTCGTGCTTATAATCAGATCTTGTTGTTTTTGTCTTTAGTATGCAGATATTGCTGCAGCACCAATGGCTATCACACCACATCGTGATGAATATATCGACTTTACCGTGCCTTTCATCAAGAGCGAGTTGGGTGTTCTCATCAAACATCCGAGTTGGATTTGGGAGTATCCCTTCGCTCCTGTCTTTCCCTTCCGATGGGACGTCTGGCTGGTCAATCTGTTGGCTTTTGTTATTGTGACGGTGCTGATGACCCTCATTGGCCGGTTCAACTCCCAGGAGTGGTCCAAGGCTGCTGAACGGGGAGAGGCGTCCCAGGAGCAGAGCGAGAGTTTTAATGTCTGGAACACATTCTGGTTCCAAGTGACCACGTTGTTTCTGCAGAGTTATGACTCCTCACCGCGCTCTATCACCGGCCGCGTCCTAGCTGCTTTTTGGTGGTTCTTCTGCATCGTTATGGTGTTCCTTTTCCTTTTCAACCTCACCCCTTTCCTGACGGCTTCTAAGAGTATTGGTATCGTTCGCGATGTCGGCGACCTTCTAGACGAGACCACGGTTGATGTCGGCTTCATCAAGGATAGCCCAGCTTACGACTTCTTCAAGTACTCCTTTGTGGAGGATTATCGTCGGTTCTGGGAGTACATCCACGCTGCTAACGCCATGTACGGAGACGAGACAACAATTGAAGTCCGAGTTGAGGAGGCGGTACAGAGAGTTCGTCTGTCAAATGGTCGCTATGCCTTAATCCACGACAAAGAAGTCTTGAAGAAGGAAGCAGCTAGATGGCCGTGTGATCTCTACATTACCGGTGGCCACTTTGCCCTGGTCGAGTACGGCCTAGGAGTCCAGTCCGGCTCCCCACTCCGTGACCAGCTTACTTATGCCGTGAGACGCCTGCAAGAGACGGGCATCATCGATCAGATATGGAAGAACAATACCGACAATCCGCTCTGGGTTGAGTTGAACAAGGAGGGTACCTGTCAAGGCGAACCCTCTGTCTGGGAGATTCAAGGTCTTTACTCCCTCACCTCGGTTGATCTGAAAGGATTATACTTTATGCTTATGCTTGGCATGGGATTTGCCGTTATCATCTTCATCTTAGAAGTCTTGGCTTACCAGCTGGGATTCGGATCTTCGTCTCCAGGGCATGTTGGCAACCGACAGGAGATGCAGAACTTAAGAGGCAGTGACAGGTACACAGGGGGAGGGGGAGGTCCCGTGGGTGGGGCAGACGTGGGCGGTAACGAAAAGATGTGGATATAGACCTTAAAGATTGAGTTGGATATTGATAAAGTTTCTGGTCACCAATATTGATATTCATTAACATCACGGAATATATACTGGTGATAAAGATTTCCGTATTTGCCAAAGACGAGTATTTTGTAATCATGACGACCCTGTAGACAAGTTTATTAGGACTTGTCTGTTCACTTAGAGACTTTTTTCAAGTACTCGGCATGATATACGCAAGTGGATAGGAACAAACTTATTTAGAATTCTGGAGTGAAATGAAAACTAAAATAACTCGCTGTTGTATTCTGAATTGCATATGAGGAAATCAACACATAAAATCTGGCCTTCAGTTTTGCTCAGAGGAAAATTCTTTCTTTGACGCAAACCTTTTTAATGCACTTTTGATTTGTGGTGTAAAATACTATGTTGTATATATGTTAGTTGTGATTAATCCTTTTTGAATTTGATGTTACAATTGGAAAATTCTAAGAGTTTAGATTTGAGATTTTATCATTTCCTACTAATTCTTCTGCAGCCTTTTTTGAGCCAGTTCTGTTTTGTCGGATTGGATGAATGTTAATGCATGATTCCATTAATAGTGGAGGTACGCCCGATGTGAGCTTCGTCTCAGTCGAGTTATTTTTCATGAATTTGTAGTCACTGATCGTGATCCAAATAATTAAGAAATTTCTCACTGACTGGAAGAAAGGCTCTCTGTTTTCATGCTTATATTTGAAATTTATTAAAAACAGATTTTTTTGTATAAACTTGCTTTGCAGAAAAAAAAGGTCAGCGGGTTAATGTGACAGTTACACTTATTAAATAAGCTCAGATCAAGACAAATTGCCCATGTAAAATCGCCGTTTTGGTGACAAATTTCCTAGCAGACTGGAGACCAAAGACTTACACCATGTTTTGATCCGCAGTTTCTGGATTGTGTTGGTTTAACATTTTGTACCTGTGTATTCAGTGATAATTCTTTATGAGAGTTTTGCAACTTTGTAAACGGTTTATTTTAGTCACATTTATGTAAATAATTTTAGCGCTTCCTTGTTACCAAAAACTGCTTGTACGTGAGCTGTCAGTGAACGCCGAGGTTGTGAAAAATTCTGTAAGAAAGTGTATTAATCAGAATGCTGGAGATCGTGGGTGTCTTTTAACCACCCCTTGTCGAGAGAGAAAATTACCGTCTGAAATTGTCGGCCAATATTTACTGAGAAATTAGGAACTTGTAGTTTTTAATCCCATTGGTTTGATATGTTTACACTAAGCTCTGTGCAACACCCTCTGTTGACCGACAGCTTTTTACCTACGAGTTTTTCGTGCACTGTACCTAGTTTTAAATCGTAGTACATGTATCTAATTTTTAAATACTTTTTTTTCTTATAAAGTTTGTAAAATTACAGTTTGGTGGAAGGAAATAAACTAAGTTGTAGTATTTTGTAATTCGCCGCATTTCAGCACTTTTGTAGAGGACTTTTAAATCCTGTATTTATACAAGAAACAAAACGAAATTTATTTACAACAAAGTGTCACAGTATAGGGCAACAAGGACATCTTACTGAAATTTTAAAAGGTACAAAAGCTATACCCCATTGAGATCAGTGCTTTAATGTACGTAAGCAGTGAAACCTACTTCCTGCTCGCAGAAGTAGGATTCGAACCTACCACCGTCTGCTCATCAGCACAGTCTATTCGTTACACTGACAAGCACGTGAGCCACGTACTCTCGCTCATAACAGGTATGAATTTATTGCACACTTAAATTTCCAAACCCTTGCAAGACGCTGGGAGGAAACGAACTGCAATTGTCAAAATAAAGCTGCTTTATGAATATTCAGTGTAAACAAATTCAGTAACAAAGGCTGAGCGAGAGCATGAAGAAACTGAAAGGCGCGGTTGGCGTCTTTAGCAAGGCATGGTGTTTGCTCAAGACAGCCTTGTTAGTCTTGTATTCAAGCCGCTCGTACCGGTGCGTGTTATTCGGTTGTACACATTCTGCGTGCTGAATGAATACATTAACAGTTCGGCCTGAGAAGCGTGTACTAGTTCAGTGACTGCAAAAGAGTCTATTTCTTTTGTTGACTTTCTTTGTTGAGTCTTGCCTAAACAATAAAATGATTCGGCTTAAGGATTAGGATTATACACCTCCGTTTGCCGTTACGCTCGAGTAGAGAACAATTGAAAAATTATCGCCGAAAATCTCGAAATACTGGCCAACCAAAGGTTCAAAATGCAAACAAATGGGTTTTTGGGAGAGGAAATTCACTTCTGAACATTCCTGTAGTATCAAAAATGAGAAATGCGCCGTATTTAAAAAGTCGACTCGTAAGAGGTAGCTGGTTCCAAGCTAAAACTTTCTACATTTTGTCGTAGGTGGCGCCCTTTCTTGGGCAGTGAGTTTATGTGACGGGGCTATATATTTATTTATTTTTTTTTCTCTGACTCTGTCTTCACCTGCCTGCAAGGAAATAACATTATGGGATACCATGTTCGGGGTTTGAAATATAATTTCTCATTATGCTTGAGATGTTTGGCAGAAAGATTACCCATCCCCCAATCTTAAAACGTGCCTGCTGGGTTTCCTTTCAATTCCATTGTACAATGCAATCTTCTCCAAGTACATGTACATGTATTGCCAATGAAAGGGCGCCACCTACGACAAAATGTGGAAAGTTTTAGCTTGGAACCAGGCACCTCTGACGAGTCGACTTTTTAAATACGGCGAACTTCTCATTTTTGATACTACAGGAATGTTCAGAAGTGAATTTCCTCTCCAAAAAACCCATTTGTTTGCATTTTGAACCTTTGGTTGGCCAGTATTTCGAGATTTTCGGCGATAATTTTCCAATTGTTCTCTACTCGAGCGTAACGGCAAACGGAGGTCTATAATCCTAATCCTTAAGCCGAATCATTTTATTGTTTGGGCAAGACTCAACAAAGAAAGTCAACAAAAGAAATAGACTCTTTTGCAGTCACTGAACTAGTACACACTTCTCAAGCCGAACTGTCTATCTATTCATTCAGCACGCAGAGTGCGTACTACCGAATAGCACACACTGGTACTAGCGGCTTGAATACAAGACTAACAAGGCTGTATTGCGCAAGCGCCATGCCTTGGTAAAGACGCCAACCGCGCCATTCAATTTCTTCACGCTCTCGCTCAGCCTTTGTTAATTAATTTGAATACGCTGGATACCAGGTGTTCTGTGTACATTTCCACAACTGGTCAGAATACCAGTTTCACTTACTGTAAAGGGTTTTGCATTTTAATAGTCTCTCTACTGAGGACGCCGCACAATTTACGTTTGTGCTTCCCTGCGGTAGTGGAACATGGGTCCCAAGTAAAACATGTAAACAAAAAGGGAAAAGCATATAACTACATTGGCTCATAAAAAGAAGTAGGCTTCAAAAACGTTTCAAAAACACATTTTGACCAATGGTGATCGCATTCTTTCTTTTTATGAGAACTGTAGAAGTGTTTTGATCCGCACAAACTGCCGACGTTTGATATTTCGACCTTTCAGTCAGTTTCAGAGTAACGTCTCTATCGTAATTTTTCAACGAATCATATTCCTTCGGCGAAAAACATTGAGAAATTCCAGAAAGTGAAACTTTTTTTGCAATATCTTTGAGTAAAGGTTGGAGCTGAGTCTGCATTTCTTCAGAATCACGGATATGCAATCACAAAAAGGTTAAAAGCAAAGGTGTTTTTCGAAGTGTTAACATTTCAACTTCAAAAAGGAAGGACAGGCATCGAAACATGTGTTGCTGGGCAGGCATGGGCGTGGTGATGACTTTTCTGGAGGATGATAAAGCACTCATCAGCAGCGAACTGATAAACCATGAACACTAAAAGGAATCAATTGGAACTTTGTTAGGCAAATGGATTGTTCAATCTCCTTTTGTCTGTTGCTTTCTTTTCATTTCTTCCTCTTCTTTTCTTTTATCCCTTTTCATTTTTTACAGTTTTCCGGAAAGGGGGGGGGGAGAACCCCCCTCTTCCCTCGCGATGCCTTTGTGTGAAAACTGACTTAAAAAGTCGATCGCTGAAAATGAGTGTTTTCTTCAGGGCGTCTCAGACAGTCTGGAGGTTTTAAATAAAGGAAAAGAAACCATTATGTGAATGAATGATTTACAAGAGACGCGCGTGATTCATTGAGGACGTTTCGAGTTTCGTAATGCTAATTATTTCTGGCATATACTACTTTTCAAGGCAACCAAGTCTCAATAAATCAGACCGATGACAATAATTATTACACTGATTCTTTGTCAAAACGTACCGTATCAACCATTGGCCTGCTCTTCGAGTCGATTAAAGTTAGCCCAATAAAAACCATCTCAAGGCCTACTGACATCAAGAGAAATCTTGACTTCAAATTTTCAAGGAAAATTGCCCCGTTTGCAGGTAACCCAGAGCTTTAACAGCGCTACGACCTACCCATTTTATCAGAAGATTGGAAAATCATCAAGGTATAAGTTATGGAGAACAGATTTTCCGCAAATATCAGCCAAGGCTGTTTCCTGAAGAAACGAATAACTTCCTACGGTGATCCGAGACCGTTCCTATCCCTAATTACCTTCCCAGCAATGTCTCACCACTCACAGGCCGTTTGAAGGGGGTGGTTTTATTATTATTACTATTTTGAAATGTTATCACCCCCTTGTCGGCGATTGAGGGGCTTGTTCGAATTCCTTCTCTCTTGTCATTGGATTCACTAAGCACCCGTGAGACCCCTTCGCTTTGTATTTTGGTGATCACGTCACCCATTGTGACTTTTTTCCTTCCCGACGGGAGGGATGAATTACCGCTGCGTACAGTAAAACATTTCTCTCTCTGTTTGGCCATTGTAATAAATCTGGTGTGAAGTTGGGAAGAATATTTTTTATATCACAAAATGAAGCGAGGCAGTAAAGTAGGCTAAGCTGTCTGGAACTGCATTCAGTCGGAACAAAACACTAGGGCAAAAACATAGCAAATTCAGAAATGCCTGAACTCAGATTCAAAACTAACAGGAAAATTCAGAGAACTCCTTGTTATAAGTTAAGCTGGTATTCGGATAAATTACAAATTTCGGCATAGAAACAGAACCACAAAACTGAAGACATGGGGTAGATGAAGCAAACAAGCAGGACTGAGGTGGCAATAACACTATACATATGATGGGGTCCAGTCATCTTCATCAACCCCGTTGGTTGATATTCTCAAATGGGAGAGTGCATTTTCCCATGCATGGTTTCCTTTGTCTGTTCTCCCACCATTCACAATTTTTCCATATACAGTATTAACTGAAATTTCCAGTTAATGTCATGAGGTGGCTGGAACTTTTCCGTGTGTCACCCCGGCCAATATTGGTCCATGGTTTGTCATGCGCCAACTTTTAAAGGAACTTGAATGCTTGGTTTTGAAAAAAAAAACATAAAGTGGCTATGTATACAAAAGGGTACGAATAATTTAAGCTGCTAACCACAAAAGTTGTTTCAGATGAACACGTTGACTTTTTGACCCTTGAGTAAGCCAACCACCACGCACAAAATGACAAGGTCAAGAATTTTTCAATAAACAATATCATAAATCAAATGTATTTGGGAGCCTGAATGTGAAATTTTGATCTGCCTGCAAACAGTTGGCAGGCAGTTTGGTACGTGCTGAGACGAATGTAGTGAGTCATAAATTATGTAGGTAAGATTAATTGTACGCAGAACTCAGCATTAGCCGACTGTCCTCTCGCACTTGTTGCCATTCATTCTCCCTGTATAAATTATGGCACTTTAGTTATGGTTTTGTTCCCTGAAAATAATGCGGGCAGACCTTTGCTCTGAACATGTGATTCTACCTCCATGCTCTGAAACACGGCGGAGCGCCAAAAAACCTACCTTGGGTCATGCATATGCAATTACAGAGGCCGCCATTTTGAATACTAAGCACAATTTGTTTCGAATGATCCACTAGCTTTTGATCTTTAAACGATTTTTTTTCGTTGTAAGGGTGGATCCATTTTTGGCTGGTGGAGGGAGGGGCTGTCGAGAGGGGAGTTTTAACAGGCCCCCTTTTTTATTTTTTAATTCTCTTTTTTTCCCCTATATATTTTGCTGGCCTAAGGGGAATTGCTTGGCTACGTGCTTTCCAACGACACTTCTGTACGGGTTGCGAAAAATCAGTCTCCTGCAATGTGCTGCCTGGCTTTTCATTTCGAAACAGCTTTGAAATTTCGGTTGTGTATACTTATTTCCCTCCTATGTGTGGAAGTAGAATCCCCGAACAATCCAACCCACACCCGCGCTGAAACCTGGTATGAATGCCGTAGTTTTAACAAAGCAGAGTGGCTGTTTCCCCGCCACCGCAGGTTCAGAAGTTCAACGAATTCAGTAAGAGTTTGCTGATGCTTGTGAGCTGCAACAGAAAAGGCGAAGCGAGGAAAATAATCTAGCGAGCAATATCGTGACTTATCAGCAGGCCTTCGCACATTTCATGCTTCGCCCGTTGCTACGATGTTAGTCAATCTAGAGGTGAACCGCGACCCACTTTCACATCGAGGACCCCTGATTCATTTTTCCCCTTTTCGATTCAGACTCCGATTTGTTGGGCCGCCAAACAAAGACTCGTGATTTTCTGCAATACTTGAGTGCCAGACGCACCCCAGGGTAAATTTCTGGGGATTATTACTTTTTTCTATCTTGAAATGAGAATCCACATTGCTTGACAGCCGATTGAATGGCTTCTTTCAGTATTTCATTTTAGGTTGGCCCGTTCTGTGTCTGGTTTGACCGTAAATCCCTCAGAACCACCCGGGGGATAGACTGGGAGGGAAAAAGGGCAAAAAGGGGGCACGGCAGTTCACATCCTAAAGGGTCAACACATGGAATTTTAATGGAATAAGGGACGCTTTTTAGCGATACTCGTCTCTGACATCAGACTTTTTCACCATGGCTATTTCGCAAGATTGTTCCGAACAAAATGTGTCTTTATACAAACCACAACATCTGAAACATCAGTCGTCATCGAATTGGTTGTAGGCCTATACATCTAGCGGTATTCTAACATCTCTAACTTTCGCTGTTTTTCTTTCAAAGGGCAATTGCATTTCCTCTGAAGCTCTGAAGACCTTATTCTTATTTCTATATTAATGTATAATCACTGAAACACAGTAATTTAAACTTAAGTAGTTTTGTAAAATCTTTGAATTAAGTTAAAATGCATATAGAAGAAAATCGAAGACTTACTCTGAAGAAAGTAAAAACTCAATCTTTTTGTTTTCAAGTTACAGAACTAATCATTTGTATCTGAAGCCGATATTACACATGTAAAATAAAAATGCATGTGTAATTTCCTTCGTTCAAGTTGTAGATAACTGCACTTGAACATTCTCATGTAACTATTTTTCCCCAGTCACAGCCTCAGAAAACATGAACTGTGTCGGTTCATTCTTTGGGCCTTAGGCTACTTGGTGAAAATTATCGCACGTCTCGCTGAGGGGAGGGGATTGAGTCACGATGTGAGCATTCCTAACCTTAAACTTGATCCGGTGATAAAAGTATTTTGACAAAAAAGTACGACAATTTGCTGTTGTAGTTATTTTATCTCTGTGGGCAGCACTTGTGAATTGCATGCTGGGTTTACTCTCGCGTCTTGGGCTCCCTTAAATATAGGAACTTCTGCAGAGGACGACACTGGACTCGCCGAAAGTTGTGCGCAAAATCTTTCCCGGCCAAAGTTAGTAAAATTACTGATCCATTTCCTTGTTATAAACGTTTATATCGATGAAAAACACAACACTCGTGCAAATTCTGATAACATTGGAATGGCTCCATTTTCAAATCGTGCAGATTTTCACATTTTCTTTGGAACGAATGCGCTTCGAATCAGTTTGACGAGATAAACAGCTATCAAGAAATAAGAAAATCCCAAAGCAACAATACCTGATTCGGAGTGCCTGGTCAAACTGATTATCATACAATTAAGTTGTTCCTTTTCATTACCAGAAAACAACCTTACGACCCCCACCCCTAAGAAAATGAACAACAGTCCAGCTGTCCTTTTCTTCTCAGTAACTGCCCCTAAAATCACCGAAATATTTATCATCCAGTTGCTGGCGCCCCTCAGGCTGATTCCAAACTGTGTGTAACTTGACATCGTCCAATGTCGTGAGATTATGAACAGAGTCTTTTGCAAGATGAACATTTCACGTTTATCGCTATTCTTCTTTAATGGGCAAGAGTTTTACTTTAAAACCTGAGGAAATAAATGTCCTGTTAATTGGAAGAAAAAAGGGGCCATGTGATGCTAGTCGACCCCGAAATTATCACACCCGTCTTATTATTTGAATAAACGGCTTACCTTGTAAAATCGTGACTAGATAGGCTGGCATAACGGTGAGGCTTGCACTTTTCAGACTTGAAGCAGTTCGCTGTGAAGGGGAAAAGGGTTGCATTAAGTTGGTTGATTGTAGAGGCTGTGTATTGTATCGGCAGTTTTCCTAAATAGTAAATGCATTGATTATAGAAAATTGTTGTCTCATGGTTAGTCTGTGAGTCAATATACACAATGTGAAAACTTACCGAGGAAATGTCGATGTTGGACGACAAGTGCCAACAATATATTTTTTACAATGTCCTGGGAGTCATATTTGGCAAGTAGACTTGTTTAATTCTTAGAAAATCAGTCAACCAGCATTCACAACACTTTTGCTTCTTCGGTCAGTTTTGGTCAAATCGCTGAAGAGAAAGACACTATGGACAACAGCGCGAACTTAGCAGAGCCCACTAACCACCACTGGGGTTTAGAAAAAGGAAAATTGTTGATTCGGTTTGGATGGATGTGTGGACAACAGCGCGAACCACCATTGGATTTTAGATAAAGTAGAATTGTTGATTCGGTTTGGGTGTGTGTGTGTGGTGTTCTTGAAACCGTGCATGTTACATCTCTCCAAAGCTAACAGACGTTACAGGTGAAACTCTGACTCCTTTGTTTTTGTCGTCGATAAGTCGACTTACCAATTTGCTGTGGCATAGTTTTTTCCCAAGGAGTCATTCTTTCCATCGGTTCCTGACACCCCGCTGCGATCGCGATATCACTTCTATCACGAGTCGATTTGCCGAGAGACACGTCTCTCGTACATGTACATTGCTGGCCAGGCGTCATCTTATCTCGGCGGTGTCTTTCAGCGAACGAACTGATGCTGTTCGCGGCCCTCTGGTCGCGTCGCGGGTGCTGTGAACTGGGAGATTTGCCACTCTCCTCGGGCGTCCGCGTAGAAATCATTTCCTTGCTGCGACCTCTTTGTCGCGTCTCCCAGGGCCCACTGAGGTTCAAGTAGATGTGCGCAGGAAATGTTTCCTGTTATAAAACAGTCGAGAGAGTAAAACATTCAGCCTCCAAAGGGGTTTCTATATTCAGAGGCAGTAACAAGAAGTTAATAATACTGTTGTGTGACGCTAAACGAATGGCAAAGATCCACTGATGAATGGTCAAATCTTTACCTTTGGGTTTTAGATCCTCGCCCATTGTCCAGGTAAAATTAGTGCAAATAAAAAAAATGGCACCGATAAAGTTATTTTTGCAACTGATGTGTATTTACCAGAAAAACACTGCTTTTGTTACTGGCTGAACCACCACCACTTTTTGCATACTGATTGTTGCTTGTCTGCAGATAGGGGCAGTTCAAAGCTAGCAGATTTGCATCTCATTTGCATATGTTTTATTCGTGGCGTTTGTGAACTATAGACGACAACAAGGGTAATCAGTCATTTTCGTTTTTTGGGATGACAGACCAAGGCTACTTGCAACTGCCATCGTTGTGTATTTCTTAAAAGAGTTTTGGATCCAGTGAATACGGGTCTTTTTGACACTCCCTTGGAGAATGACGAGTGACCCCCGAAGTTGAAAAGGCCAGCGTTGCATCTGTCGACAAGCAGCGATGCGTTGAGAGTTACGCCTGCAAAAATTCAATCATGATAGCAGCAAAATTGTATGCGCTTGTACAAGCTAATAAGCTGACGTCAGTCACGTGATTAACCCCCACATTGCCTACGCCAATGACAGACGAGGACTACTTTACTGAGTTGATAAAATTCGGAGTTATCTTGACGGCAGACACAGCACCAGTGATACTGATAATATCACGCCGCTGAGTAATACACAGCAGTTGGGTTTTTTGTTCCAGCTGCAGGATTTTTGCAGGAAAGGGAAGCAGTGCGACAGCGAGGGATCTTTCGCCATTACTGGATGATTTTCCCCCCTGGTTAATCACATTGGAAGGAGTACATAACCGCGAAGAGTGGTTCTTTACTGAGTGTGTTTTCCTTGACTCTTGGAGAATACCCAGACAGCCATGGCAGTGACTTTGGGCCTTGTAGCCTTAGTTGTTGGGTCACTTGTGGGCAACACTGTTTCACAAAGTTACAAGATCGGTAAGTAAACCGACAAGCATTTTGTGTGAATTGACATGGGCATGTTTGCACCACATTAACAGTGTGAATTGCTGATATTTTACTGATAATTAAAACAATATGGCCATTAAATTGAGCAATGTAACGCCTTCTTGATAGTTTTAGGGAAACGCTGAACTTAAAAAACAAACAGTTATTATTATTAAAGGTTGGCCGGAAAAACGGACGGAAGTTAATGCATTTGGTGCAAGGTGGTGACGACCGTAAAGGATGCACGTAGACTATATTTGATGACAATGGCGATAATAGATGACGTGATGATGCGCGAAAATAACTGGTGTCGTTCAAGTTATGGTGACAATACTAATGACACATTAAGACAATGACACAGACCTCAGCAATCATAATATAGCAATCGTGACAATGACAACGATATCTAAATATTTCTCGTATATTGACACCAAAAAAAGAAACGTGAATTTGCCCTGCACGTGTTGTTAGATTATTCCAACACGGTAATATTATTAATAATCCACATTTTTCAATGTGACTCACATCATGAAATAAACGGTAGAACTCGTGGATTTGTGCAATGGAAGAAAGATGTGAAACCTGAGCCCGGTATGGCGGTAGGCAGTGAAATGGTTTAATGGATTTAATTAAATTTATCATAATTTCTGCAGGGGACTCGATATACCCTTGACCCATGATCGGAACTTAATATTAGCCTGTATAAATCATTTTAAATTCGGGCCAATTCTCTCTTAAGAACAGTTTGGACAAACAGACAAATTGACAAAATACGAACACGAATTACTTTATATGAATCAAAATGAAGGAAATACAGTCAAGACAGATTTTTGGTTACACTAAACTGTATTCTCAGAGTGGATCACCAGGCATTAGTGGGTGTTTAGTGGGTGGCCGCTTTTTAGGGATGTTGGGTCCAGTGTCTTATTGTAGCTTTTTGTATAATCTGTAGGTAACCTCATTTTAATCTTAAAGTCATAGTGTTTGCGTGTTTTATTTCTGTACAGCCTGTTGAGACCTGTTCATGATGTAATGATCTTTAAACAATAAATACTACTATTTTTTATTATTATCATAAAAACCTTTCACTAAAGATTCACGCTAACCACTTCCGAATTAACTTTAACTGAACTGGGTTGCTGAAACTTTACAGTACTGTTTTCCTGAAAAGTTAGACATCCATCGGTATCTAGTAAATGAGTCAGCGAAGTCGATAGGCTGACATTTGCTCAAGCCCCGACCACTTGTAGTTTTCAACCAATCACCATAATTGTTTGGCTGGGTCAGGTCAAACGTTATCAGTGAAGTGGTACTAGTAGAGGTTTATCTCCATGCTGATGTTTCTCAATATAATATTTTTTAAAACTTTGAATAAAACAAAATGTAATCCAGGGCTCCGTTGTTGATATTAATTTGGAAATTGACGGACTGATTTAAAAAAAAATGGAACGAGACCTGCACCCGGGAACTAAACCGATTCAGTCAAATCGTTTCGTAATAATAAAAAAGTAGTAAGATAAAATGATGTTAATACAAAAGCTACAGACAAAGTTGAAGGGCCATTACGCCACTGTTAATTATGGAAAGACATCTGTAAACACTAAAACAGCAATTACACTGACAGATTGTGAAATAGCTTAATTCAAACTGTTTGTTCACATTCCTGTAATAATGATTAACAAATATAAATGCATACAATTTTATACCTTATCTAATTAAAGTCATTCAGACAGTTATGAAAACCTGGTCCAAATATTTCAGAGGTGGTCATGACATCTCGAAGTTTGGATTGCAAATATTTAAAAACCCTTGCACTTCAGGTATATGTGTTGCTTTTCTATTTGTCCTTTCTTTAGGTGCCATGTACGGCATGCATACACGTGTGGACAATCTTTACAAAAGACTTTTCACGGATGCTGTGACATACATTAATCGTGATGAGAACCTGATGAACATAGACGGTACCGAATCCCTAGCCGTCTTCAATGAACCACTCATTACTTGGACATATTCCAACCCGCCACAAGCACTACGTGGAGGTAGGTCGGTTATTGTTTGTATGCAAGAAGGAAAATGGTTGTGTGGCCACAATGACCTACATTGTTTCAAGACTGATCTGCTATTTTATTTTTACAAATACAGCATTAAAATGTCCTAACTGCATTTATCAAATCCCAAAGATGGACAAAACGACTTAATGTTAAATGTGATTTCAAAGTGTCAATTCCTTAGTTGTTAAGTTATAATCAGTTGTCTGTATTTTAATGCGCAGCCTGTACGTTTGCCGGCTCGGTTGATATCAACGGCTTGATCGTTCCCTCGGATGTTTGTCCAGACTGTGGCGGCCATACAGGGCGGATTATCGGTAATGCCTTTGCTCCAGTTATTGCTCTAGACCAGGCTGAGGGCTCCAAAGCATACAAGATGCTACCTACCGACACCGAGTTGGTGGAGTTATGGATTAGTGTCATCAATCACTACAAATGGCAAGACTTCATCTTCATCTACGATGGCGATTCTTGTAAGTGAACACCCTTTGGCGCCCCGCCCCCATTTCTGACTAAAGAAGGCAGAATGATCGATTCAATTTCAAGTCACAAATGAGTACGAATTTGTGTTAGAGAAAAACGTTCAGCCATGCAAATGAGAAATCGACTAGTTTCAAAATAAAGCAACGTGTGATGAAAGTGGAGAGACAAAGTTTGACATTATTATGACTATCCTATGTTCAATATAGTGTCAAATTACCAAAGCATAATTTTTATGCTAAAGATGAAAAAGGAAGAAGAAAGGAACCAGGACTGAAAGATGTACAAATAAAACGCACTGATCGAAATTGAATCGCGTCCTTTAAAATGTCGTTTCACTCTCCACTGCATGATTCAGAGTATTAGCAATGCTTATGGAGCGCAGGCAGCCATTGTTAAATTGTGCTATCTTTATTCAATCAAGCATATTCGCTGGCCTGGGTTCTTCTTGAGATGGAGAGAGAAAACAGTTGGCATGTGATCCCGTACGAGATTTATGACGAGGAGGACTACGGCAAGATGGCCAAAGATTTGAAGCAACGAAGAACGCAGAACTACCTTTTGTACATGCACGAGGAAGAGCGCCTTCCAGGCCTCCGTGACAGTGTAAGTTAATGAAGTGCCTGATTACGAATTGGGTACAGGTTCATATCGTGTCAACTTACTGGGTCAAGTTTAAGCAGCTTCAGGTTACCGGCCCAAATACCATGACAGGGATAATGATCGTGATTTTTTCAAAGTGCTACACAAAACGTTTCACAAATTATCGATCACAAACTGGTCAGAGTCATTACTTGGGTAATCAGAAAAAAATGTCGCCGTTAAATTTGCAATTATTCATCAAATAGGTGAGCTGCTTTAATTGAGTACAAAAATATTGTCAGACTGTTATCGTTACTAAGTTAATCTTCATGCCTGTTACTAAGTATGGCCCAGTTGCGTGCATAGGTCCTTCGTCCAAGAAAGGGGCAATATAATATAGGCTATTTTTTTTCCAAACACGACCGGCAAATTCATTCACCTTATAGAGAATCCCCCCCCATCTGGAGGGAGTACCGTCTCCAAACAGTGCTTTTAAATGTACATGTACTTTCAATTAAAAAATCAAAGGAACCACAACTTGACAGTATGTCAGGAAGGGGGGGGGGTAACTTTCTCCCTGCACCCCCCCCCCCGATACGCCAGTGCGGCCATTGAATACTTGACCATTTTTAATGAACACTTTCAATTGTATATTGTTTCTTTAGATGTTGGATAATGGCTTGTTTGGCGATAAATACCACTGGATATTCGGAAACTTGGTAAGTTCCCTCTGGCTCCAGTGAGTATAACAGTGGCAAAGGGAGATGTTTGCTATTCTAAAAATCAACTCAGGGTTGGATAATGAGTTGCGCAGTTTATCAGCATTCCACAACTTATCACAGCCTCAAGTCCAAATAATTCTCAGAATTTTAAATCGTGGATAATTATACATTACACCTGTAAAATCCAACCTTTCCACACAGAGCTTACCGTATATGTACGCGCAATTTAATCGTATAATGAATCCCACTGTAATGCTAGTTAAAGTCATGTCCGTCAAGTCAAAAAGGCACGCAGAAAACTGTTTTTCTTTCTGTCTGGGTTTCAGGAGCCGCCAATTACCCGTCGGTACTTGGACGACAAGCTTCGTATCCACACTTCATTCCTGACCCGCTTCAAGATGAGAGTCCAGGATGGTTTTGACCAAAACGTTCTGACTAAGAACCCAATTCCGCCTCGTAACTGGCCCTTCAGAGAGCGTACCGCTTACGACGCCATGTTGTTCTTTGCCCAAGCTATGACTGTTTTCCGTAGGGAGAATGGCCGGTACCCGAACGTTGTGCCCAAATGTGGAGAAGATGTAAGGAGCGAGCTGGAACCAGTTATGCAAAAGGTTGGTATTCAATTAATCCTTTTCCCCACTCTAGACAGAAGAAACGTGAATGTTTCTATGCTCATGATGTGGAAGAGGAAGTAAAAAACAAAAACAAAAAACGATTAGCAATTCATTTAATTCAAATTTGACTTTCCCGGATACAGTTTCATTTTGTTCGTTTTTGTTTTTAGATCAGCATCGAAGGTTTAAGCGGGGAAGTGGCATTCAACTCACATGGTGACCGTGTCAACTACACAATTGATGTGTACATGGGCAAAGACAAGCATAATATTTTGAAGGTGAACCCAATACCCAGTCAACTAATATAAGATTTGCAGAACTATTTTCATGTCGTGTATGCACCTTTGATCCAAGCCAGTCTGGCTACATTTGCCGTTGATGATACATGTTGTAATACTCAATTTCAGGCGGGTGTATGGACGCAGAATATCGCGCATTATGAGCGCAAGTACGGGGAGGTTTGGCCAAAGGACAAGGGTCGCCTTAATATGTTCCCATTCAGACAGTCGGATCAATCATACATCAAAGTACTCTCCATCGAGGTAAGGGAGGTTATGAATATTCAAATTCATCGAAATAGTGAATTGTAGGCTTGAAACTTTATCATTAATTTCAAAAACCAATAAATACAGCCACGTACGTAATCTTTATTCCAGAAAAAAGAGCACAAAACAAACACTGACCAGAATGAGACATTGAAAGCAGAAATTGTAAAATAATGCAATGATTGATCATTCTGAATTGAAGGAGCCGCCCTTCTTGATGTTAAGGGACCATAACTACGATCGAGAGAGACGCCAGGTTCAGACAGGCGATGAGCTGGGTTTGGACCGCTACTATGGTATCATTCCAGAATTGCTGGAAAACATCCGCAAAATCTTCGAAGAGGAGCTGAGAATGGAGTTCAAGTACAAGATCGAGCTAGTAGCGGAGGGATACTACGGAAAAAGAAACCCCAATACTGGAGAGTGGGATGGAATGGTCAAAGAACTACAAGACTCGGTAAGCATAAATGGGAGAGTAGTGGTGTGAAGTTAGCTGAACGTGAGATATTAAGGGTGAAAGAACACACCAAAACATAGGAGGCTGCTTTGCATAATTATTCTAACGTTCATAGACCCAGGCTGAAAAAAAGTTTTCATAGTATGAATCAAAGTTTTTGCCATAAAATGGGATATGTGAAAACTAGACCCGTGGTTGCATTCCTCCATAACAGCCCTTGCTACAAGCCTATAAACTTCTCTTTATATTCGTTGTTCTGGACAAGCTTGATTGCTGATACCTTTCATGAACAATTTGGTTGCTCTTTTTCCAATATTCAGGATGCTGACCTTGCAGCCGGTGCATTCACTGTTACTAGACAGAGAGAAGACGTCATTGATTTCACCAAGCACTTCCACACTGGCCCCATTAAAGTCTTGATTAAGCACCCCAATTGGGTCCGTGACTACCCTTTTGCCTTTGTCTTCTCCCTCCACTGGGACGCTTGGCTGGTCAACTTGTTCGCCTTCGGTATCACCATTTTGGTCTTTTGGATGTTGATGCGCTATCACCCAATGGAGTATCGTAAGCAGCAAGAGGTAGGTCAGGCCACACGAGAGCAATCCATCGAGTTCACGCTTCGGAACACGGCCTGGATGTTGACAGGCATCATGTTCCTCCGTGGACACAAACTTTCTCCCGTCTCCCTCGCCGGCCGAATTCTCCTCTCCGCCTGGTTCTACTTCACTCTTGTCATGGTTTTCCTGTACATGCTGAACCTGACCGAATACGTCACCATCGACAAGGATATTCTCTCGATCAACAGCCCCACCGATCTGCTCAACGAGCCGCTGTTGAAGATTGGGATGGTGCGAAACGGTCCTACCCATGATTATTACTCCATGTCATCTAACTCAGAGGATCAGCAACTCATGTCCATCATGGGCGTCCTTGACCGACAACCATTCGTGGAGAGGCTGCGTGATGGTGCCTTGCGAGTCCGCAACGACAATGGTCATTACGCTTTGGTCAGTGAAGAAATACTGTTGACCTACTACACCCAGAGAGGGCCGTGGTGTGATCTCTATGTCGTGGGCGATCCTGTGAAGAGGCTGAAATACGCCTTCGCTACCCCGTCTGGCTCGCCTCTCCGTGACCAAATCACCTACGCCATCAACAAACTACAGACGTCTGGGGTCGTTCAAGAGTTGCTGGAGAAGAATTGGTTTGGCTACCAGAAATGTGAGGAGGAAACTCTCTGGGAATCGGAGAGTGTTTTGTCCATCAACGGCAACGACTTGGAGGGTGTCTATTATGTCTTGGCCATGGGTGTGGTTTTGAGCGCTATAATCTTCTTTATCGATGTCATATGTTACTGGCTGTTTGGTAGTTGCTCTTCTGTGGGGACCCATCCTCCGAGTAACCCTAGAGGGCCGGGGGAAACAATCACCATGACTGTCAACCCACGTGAACAGCACACAAGAAACGACTTCGACTACAGTAAACCCGCTGAAGAAAAGTCTCCCAACATGTGGATTTAGACAAGCCTTCACAACCAGAGGATTATCACTTCAAAACTCCTCAAAACATCATTCCTGACATTAACCCATCTTAGGCACAGGAAGAACTCAAGAAAATGAAATGTTGAGAACAAAACTGTAAATGGGAGTTAGTTCAAGCTATGGAACAGATTTTATGTTTTGTATAATTTGAAACATGCACTAACTAACCTTGTAGAAATTAGCACTGTCTTGCGTTATCTGGTTGAGAGATAGTTACTTTCATCACTTTTTTGTTTGTTGCCGATATGTATATATTTGGACCTGATTTGAGGGTGACTTTTTAATACGCTTATGGACTTTGTGATAGTAAAACCTTCCAGTAGATATAATGTAATACTACGTTTGTAATTTCCTTTAAACTTTTTGGCCCTATACAGTGTATAACGATCACAGAAAACGACGCATTGCGGAAGTAATCTTACTTTTTCAATTATAAAAGTGAACTAATTATAAAATTAGATTTTGTAAGATACTGTATCGAACTGCTCCAATTCAGAGCAGTGGACATTTGAATCTTTCACACTCTCTTAATACTCTGTGCTGCTGCCCTGGTATCGAAATGCAGATGCTGTTTTTAATCAGTGATCTGACATGTCGAAATTGTTTTGAATAATGAATATGTTAACGAGCCGTTAGTTTTAGGAAATGATCTAGACTAGTCACAGATTTGATCTTTATTGTTACAACGCATTCCTGTATAAACTGGAAACGTGTCTCTTAAGTGTTACAAAAACGTTTGCAAAAACTTAATCTCTTTAAGTTTTTCTTTTCAGAAACTTGATGTAACGATGTCGACTGACATCGTTTTTGGGGAAAGGTAGGGAATATCAATGTACGTGTATAAGTCACATGGAAGCAATTAAACTTTGTATTTAGAGACAAAACATTTTCCAGCTTTGGTATGTAGAGATTTAAAACTGCATTAATGTGAAATATTCTTTCGTATTTTTACTCAGCTTTTTCAATAGTTTCTCATCCATTTTCGACGTGAACATGTACACATTTTACATGTTAGTTATAATAAAAGGCAAATATGTGTAGATGAGACAAATTATCCATCGCTTGTTGTCTTAACAAGACTGAACATCTCAAACTAAAGCACTTTGGAAAAAGTAAACTTTAAGTTGATAACCTTTTGTTTTACAATGAGTGGCGAGACGTCACAATACTGCTTTTGATGAATAACACAACAGAGCAAAATTCCTTCTTGAAAATAACAAATTTTGTTTTGGCGCCGATTCGTGGCATTTCTTGCGTACTTTTGCTCCTTTCTTCCCAATTCTGTGCTCCACAGTACAGGGAATCTATTACATGTATGATTTCAGCTTTATGAAAATGAATCATAGCAAACTGTGAGAGTTTTCCAGAGGAGTAAAGCAACAATGAGAAGACATACATTTACATTATAATTAGGAAGAAAACATTATAATAAAATGAGCCACGAGCAGCCCCCTGGTATTTTGATAATGCAAGAACGAAGTTAGTTCATGTCGTCTTTTTTCATAAATGTGAGAAGTCCCCTCCGAACGTAATGTACATGTAGGCCTCTCAGTCCCTTGGTCATGAAAACAATTTCAGTACAGGACTACGGCATTCCAGCAAATAACTTCAAACGCCACGAATTACAGAGAGGGCGCTGTAACTGCAATAAACAGGGCGAAAGAAGTCGAACATAGGTGCAACAGAAATCAGCCGCGGTTTTTTAAGCGAGGTCTGCATCAAGGGAGTCCTAACTTAGCCGACAGCTGTTATTTTCATTTCTTCGGTCAATTTCATCAGTTTTAACTTCTCTGCTGCCTCCATGTACATGTACTTACTAGTAAACAATTTTACCGACGGCTGTTTCGGTAGCAGTTAGAAAACTACCTTTTATACGTTTTGGTTGCTTTTCATTATGCAAAAGAAATGCTTCGCAATTTCCCAATAAGAACAATCGCAAGAACATGTACAATGTACATGAAAGCTTTACGAATTACCCCCTTTCAGCACACCTTTCTACAGTTACGTTTAATCTTTAAAACAGTCAAACTGTCAACCGAACAAAAAAGAAAGAAAAAGGAAAACCTAAAGGAAAATGCCTAGAAACCTGAAGATTACCACGCAAAACAGATTTCATAAAGTAAATTGCAAATTACATTCCTTTTTATTACGAGAAGCATGATCTTTTTGACAATCCAGAAATTTATACACACGTCATAAAAATGCTTATTAACAAAGTTGATTAAAGTAAATCTAAGCGAAATGATTACGAATTAAGAAAAGCTAACAACTTATTCGAAAGAAAATGACTTATTATAACAAAAACTACACTGAGTGTACATGTATATTGCAATAGTTCAACTTGGAACAAAAGAGTAGGGCCTAATGAGCATTCATGTGATAACTTTCAAGAGATCAGAATCGTAACCTTGTCAGAAAATTCTCTGGCAAGTGCAGTTACCGTGATCATGAAAAGGGAGAATGACAATTTTAAAAACGAAACGAAACCGTTCTGATATATGAAACAAATCAAAACAAAGCTAACAGACAAAAATAACATACAGCTAACAGTCGCGGATTATTATTTACAACTTAGCCCCAAACCACTCTGTACAAAGATTAGAGATTTATACAAAATACAAACCTAGAACAACGTGAACCTAATCGGGATTACGTAAATGTATTGTACATTGCGTAAAATCTTAACCCTGTCAAAATACTTCAGCCGTCAAAAATTACGCTTTAACATTATAAAACTGCGGTATACATGTACAGCAATGGAAATCGGCTTGACAATTTTTGACGCCGGGATTGTTCGTTGATCAGTGGTCTACAAACAGTGGCTTCTTTTGTGTCTATCATTTCACATAAATGTATGCTTCTTTCCACCTCCTTCAAGGGATCAGAATAAGAAATACATGTCCTTAACTTCACCGAGTACAACATCTTTACCTTCTTCGCTATCTAATGTCCATGTAAATTCAAAGCATTTTGTGGTTTTCCAAAAAAATTACCAATCAAAACAGAAGTGCTTTAGGAACGTTGTTGGCATGATTGCATTTGCAAATTACATGTACATAACATCTTGTGTCCCGCTGTTAATTTCTTTGTAGGAAAAATTCATTATTTGGGTCTTCAGTCACAGAACAGCAAACAGTTCGTCCGTGTACATGTACATACGTAGGAGAAGTAGTACAAGTGCATTATTCATGCCCACGTTGGAACGCATTCTTGGAATTTAGATCCACATCTTCTCGTCTCCACCTCCTGCTCCACCACCCACCGGTCCACTCATACCCCCTCCACCTCGAGGGCCTCCCATGCCACCTCCCATACCACCATTACGAGCGCTGCTTTTGCTCTTCTTGCCACCATTGCAGGAATTCGAGATGGATTCGACAGCGAAGGTAACGACAGCCAGGATAATGCCGATGAGGAGTATGTAGTAGACGCCTTGGAGATCGACTGTGGTCAGGGAGAATACACCTTGTCGCTCCCAAGTGGTCAAGTTGGCACATTCCTGATGACGGACATCCAGATCCCACCACTCTCTCTCCAGATCTTCAAGAACACCTGTATCACGGAGTGATTCGATGGCACTTGACAACTGGTCACGAAGCGGAGAATCTTTCTGCACGGCTAAAGCGTACGTGGTGCGGGTGATATAGGTGCCAGACACTAGCAAGTCACAGGGTCTCTTGCTAGCTATGAAGCTCAACTCGCCTGCTTCACCAATGAAGGCATAGTAACCGTTGCTCTCACGTACTCGTTTGATACCGTCTTCGATGTCATTGACCCACGGGGAAGGAACACGCGTGTTCATGTGCTGCCACAGACGCTGGTACTCTGGTACGCTAGACTTCTTGAAGAAGTAAAATGTGGAGCCCTTTTCAACTGTACCGAAGGCAACCTCAGTCTGGTCTAGGAGCTCTTCTGCGGTTTTGGTGTAGACCAACCTCTTGTTGGTGGTAACAAAGTGGGTGAGGTTCAGCAGGTACAGGAACACCATGATAATGGTGAAGACCCACCAGAACGCTGCCAGAGTACGACCAGCGTTGGAGCGGGGAGAAGCATCGAAGCTCTGCAGGAACATGGTAGAGGTCAGGAACCACATTGAATTCTTCATGCTGAAGTTCTCGGCGTTCTCTTCGAAGGTCTCACGCCGTTCTGCAGCGGCGCGCCACTCGTAAGGATCGAAGTAGTTGAAGAAGAACAGCATGGCACTGATGATGAAGAAAGCGGCCAGATTGACGAACCACACCTCGATACCGAATGGGTACATGATGCGGAAAGGATTATGCTGGACGTAGTTGGGGTGTTTCATCATGATAGTAATACCAGAACTCATGAAAGGGTATGTAAAATCGACGGCTTCCGAACGATCGGGTGTTACAGTCAGAGGTCCAGCTGCAATGTCGGCTCTCTGTAAGAAAGAAAGCGAAATAAAACATTCAAATTTCCTGTTAAGAGTTACATGTTTTCCACAACATTGAGTTATGCAAGAGAGGGAAGCAACTAATCTTTGTCTGCTACTCACCTTATGGACCACATCTCCCACCATGCCATTCCAGATTAAGCTGTACCGGTGTCTACTGCCAAACTTTCCGTCAGCAACTAGCTCCACTTGGTAGTCAAAGTCGATCCCCTTGACATGAGTTTTGATTCGTTCCAGCAGGTCGATGATGTAACCCTCGAAGCGATTATTGCCTTGATAGCTTCCAGTCTCTGTCACGGCCGACTCGTTACCCTTCAACATGAGGAATGGCTTAGCCTGTTGGTCAAACAACAAGGGAACACCAATTACTTCGCTCGTTCATAAAATTATCATAAAGGAACAAATTTCTTCTCCTGATATTCACTCCGGCTCATGTTTTATAGAAATTAGAAAGTTTAAACCTTCAGATGAAACCTTCATGATAACAGAAAACACCCGCTGCCTGTAATTCCGAATACTCCTCAATGAACACCATCCGATGTTTACGGAAAAAAGAAGTTTGAAAATTTTGTTGATTATTTGGAGACTCCAGAATATGCCCATAATTACATGTACTGGAAATGTTCAAAAGTACAAACATCAATTTCTCCCTTAACTGACAAAAGCCTCGGAGGCATCGATTATTAAATATTTTGGTGAGATTCCTGGACTTGCATTCATTTTATGCATCAACTTGATTGTGTTTGCAACTGACCTCAATGGTGACAATCTTGATGATTCGCTCAGACGCATAGTTGTGGTAGGTTACGTTAAGATGACCTTCGCTCTGCCATTTCCTGTCCCATTTTTTCTCCCAGTAGTTAGGGTTTTGCGTCCATTCGCCCCTCTAGAAAACAACAACAAATTGAAAATGAGGATTGTAAAGTTCTTACATATCTAAGAAAAACATCGGGAGTTTTTCTTTTCTTTTCAATTTTCAACTTGCTCTTCAATGATCGAGGGCAGAGAAGGGCACTTACCATTTGATCCAAGGTCTTGAACTGCCCACTGTAAATTGAAATCGTGTAGTTGACACGATTTCCGTGTGCATCAAACGCTACATTCCCTGAAATTCCTTCGAACGCCACCTTTTGGTAGAAAATGGAGAAAAGATAATCAATATCTGAACTCAAGAAGTGGCAGGTCATATCAGCGTACGTGCATGATGTTTCATTGTGCAGGTGGGAGAAATAATTTGCTCACCTCTTTTAGGTATCTGCTAAGGAAATTTTCAGAAGGCACGGTAGTGGCAGTTGGGCAGGGCGGCATCTGGGTATCGCCTGGCAACACGGCTGTGCCCGTGGCTCCATTATCTTCTCTCCATTCACGATACAGTTTGAGGGCGTGGCCTACAGCGATGACAGCATCGAAGGCAAGGCGGTCTCTCATTGGCCACTCAGTGGTGGAGGTTCCGATGGAAGTGGGTAAGGCGTACTGGAGCTCCCTCGTGAAGTTCATGCCAAATCGGGTCATGTACACGTTGGTTTTCTCGAGTTCGGTTCGGAAGGTTCTGTCCAAAGACATGTCCTGCAAAAATGTACAAAGTTATGAAATAAAATGGACTAATCAGAGAGTGGATACTACGTGTATGAAGTCCTAAACGATTGCACTCAATACATGATCACAGAGAGGACAGGGACTAAAATAATCATTACTACTGAAAGAGAAATTTACCAAGTGTTCCATTCACAGAGCATTCGCAAAGTATTCCAAAAAACCCCAAACATTTAAATATCGGAAATAATAACAGAAAACACGGTCATACATTCAAAAATGGTAAAACAATTTAACTATCGGTAAATTATTCATTTAAATCGAAAGAATTATTTGCAACCAACTCTTTACTTACAATGTTCCCGAGGATCCAGTGGTATCTGGCATTCAAAATCTGAGCACCTGGGTTCTGCTCTGCCTGCAAAGTTGAAATAATAGAAAATCATAAAACACAGGTACAATGTTATTGTGCACTTACTTTGGAGGAACATGTACATGTGTATTGCAAGTACGTTCAACAAAGTACCGCTTTTAAATGGTTACTACAAACGGCCTTTTGTTAGACCTTCTGCAGCTTTATGGGAATCACTGTGTTGTCTTACCCACACCAGGAAGGCCTTTGCGTTTGCTTCTTCCGAGCAGAAGAGAAAGATATTGGTGGTGGATTCGGCTTTGATCTTAGCGGCTAGTTCCATGTAGCCGTTGTGGTCGTTTCTGTCACCCACCGGTATGGCTGTTATGTTCCACTCCAGCTCCCGCTGAATGTTGAGAACTTCCTGGAGGAACTCTAGGGCTGGTTTACAGCGAGGTGAGGAAAAGAGAACACTTTATGGGGAAGGCAGTCAAACAGAGAGCTAAAACTGGCCTTTCGTTGTTGCTTTTGTTCAATCAAAGGAGGGATCTCATTTTAGGGGTTTAATTTTTTGAGCTCGGAACGGAGAGTTGACAAATGGATCGATTTCTTCGTTACATGTAAATCCCGTCGATAAAAGGCTCGTCTTAAATGTCGTAAACGTGAGTTATGTTTCTACTTAATCGGAATATCTAAATAATTAACATTTATTTTTAAGATCAATTAACAAAGTCGTCATTAGCATGTTACAGTCAGTGAATGATAAAAGGTTCTCCTCAAATACAGCACATAAGTTTGTAAAACGAAGGAAAGTTGATTCGAAACAAAAGTTACAAAATATGAAAGTGTCTCTATGAACCTACCATTGTTGCCATCGTGAACGATGATGAAGTTCCTCCATGTAAAGTATTTGAGGATGTCGACAAACATGGAGTTGGTATCTTCCGGGGATGGGTGCATCTTGAAGGCTATGGAGCCTGAGTCATAGGAACCGTGGTCCAGGGCAAAGATAGGATTGGAGGCGTGGCTGGCGATACCGGCAATGTCCTCACACTCTGAACACTTGTCCTCAGGAAGGATCATGGCAGAGGGTCGCTCCGCGCTGATGAGGTTGCAAACTGCGTAACAAAGACGAGTTTTTATTCACGTTATTGCAGTCAATCGCTGATTCCTGTCAGACCAATGATTTTTTTCTGTTCTTTGTTTTCGGGAAATTGCATTTTGGGTTTGAAACATTACGCGTCCACGAGCTCCGCTCTTAACTGTACCCGTTGCAACATTGCAGGTCTGAGATAATTCAAACGACCTGAAGGTCCAGAAGCAATCATATATGTACACATGACATGAACATTTTCATGCATTCACTTGGTTAACATCCCACCACCACCACCACAAGTCGATCCCAAGAGACTTACTGTCGTTCAGAGCAGAGAAGACTGAGTTTGAAGTCTTGACGTCGTCAATTCCCCTGAAGACGATGTCATGAACCTCTGAGAGGAAGGTTGTGTTTCGTTTGATGTATCGGACGCCATCTTCAATGACCGATTTCAGGCCTTCGGACCCCGTACCAAAGAGCGCCGCTGTGAGAAGTCAAATCAGGAATCAGTGTGAAATGCACCCTGAAATGTATTCTGCTGAAATGCGACACTAAAAGGCCACACACGTTGTACATGTCCATGATTTTGAACGTGGGACGTAATTGTTATTTACTCCATTTTGTTCAACTTGTCATAGGGATAACTGTATCCATCGACTTCAAATATAGAATAAATATGAACCACGTCCAGAGGCACAAAGGGGTAGGGATACGCCCCCACCGAATTGTGGATTATTTCTAGATTTAAAAGGTACATGTATTAGGTAATTTTTCAGGACCAGTCTACAACAGCAAACCTATATCTTACAATTTAAACTATATAAATAGAAACACTAAATGCAGCCTATTTAATTACATACATACACATAGTGCGTTAGCATTTTCTGAGCCCTATTCAGCAACGTCTTCGAACAGGGATCTTCTCGAAAAATGATGGCGACAGAAACAAGAACACTAAGGAAGCTGATAGACTCAACTTGATGCATTTCCTCAAAACGCATCAGAACGCTTAACAATGTTCAAATGGACACAATGAAAGCAGCATTCAAGTTAAGGGAGCGAACTGCGGTTTCACAAAGCAACTTCTTCACATAATCATCAATAATTTTCAAAATACTCTGTACTGGCTACGTGACTGAGTGTCTTTAAGTTCTCATAACATTTTATTTTATGCGGATCATGGGTTAAAAAGGACTTATTTTCCCTGTAAACCTACTGAGGAAACCAGAACATCATAGTCACTGGCAACAGTTTCTGCGGATTTTGTAGGAGGCACACCCTAGAAATTGTTGGCTATTTTTGATACTGCCTACAAGCTTTTCTCGTAACAAAATTTCAAGATTGGATGTATTTTAATGTTTAATGTCACGTAAGGTTTGAAAAATAAAGGAATACAACAAAAATTCTAGCAACGAGAGAAAAATCCTTTTGATGCTAAAAAACAGTCGCGCCCGCCAATGCATAAACAAAACGGTGGCCATTTTGCTATATTCAAGTACCCAAAAATTGGCCAATTATTCAATGCGTCTAAAAAGCTCTGTTTTTGGATATACTTTCACGATACACTATAATTCTCTCTCCGGATTCAAAACAAGTTTAGGCCTACCGCTGATTTTACTACTCGTTCATACAGTCATTAATTGATATGCAATTTCGCACAACAAAATCACAAGACAGTTGTTTAAATATGTAAAATACCACTTTAATGTTCATATATAAATATACATGTATACAGACACTTAGCACATCCTATGGAACTACAGTTCCGACCCAAAAATGGCGGTAAGACGGTTGGAATCATGCACTGCTTTGTACATGTACAATACATGTACATGTACTCTATGCGCACACATCCCACGGTATATCTCATTTGCATATGGATACAACTATTGTGCGTTATTCATTCGTGTGTGACCTAAGCATTTGGTAAGCGCTGGCACGGAAGGAGAATAAGAAAATGTCGGACGCCAAAATGCTTTCGTCACATCAGGCAGATGCCGCAAACTAACCAAAACTTCGTATTTGCCCCCCCCCCCAAAGCTTTTCATAATATGAAAACTAATACTAGCAGAATAAAACCGTTAACATTACACAGCTACTGAGCTCTTCAATTTTTACACGTTTTTAGTGAAAGATGTTTTGGACCAATACAAAAATGAATCAGTTGATAGCATCTTTCCTACCTCTATGATCAGACTGATGATAGCATGAGTTCAACCAATTCACGGCAACCATGAACTGATGAATCGTATTCATTGGACATAATTTTTTCCTTGTTAAAACTACACAACCATCCAAATCAATCATTCTAAACATATCATTAAAACAATTGATAAACGCAGGAGGGATGAAATACTCACAGACAGCGACGGTTCCCGCATCACTTCGGTGCACGTATAACTGAAGTAGCAACAAGCCCCACACGACTTTCACTGAAGTCGACAACATGATGCCTGCAAACTCGCTTCCTGAAAACCTCTCTGTACAAACGCAGCAACCCTCTACAGGGTGACAATATGGCCTAGAAATCCTGCTGCGTAGTTATGGTTGTTTCAACCTGTTCTTCGCCGATGAAATTCAGTTCCTCCGGAGGCAGGAATCGTTTTCGAACATCAAACAGGGTTTTTCTTTCCGTTGCCTCGTATGATTCAGGTGGGGAGGTTCGTGAAAGGAATTACCTCACCGAAGCCAGATCCGGGCTCGCATTCACGGGCGCTACGTGCCAATTGCGTGCGTAATATTCATGAGGAGGCGGGATGGAAGGATCCATTTTTAACAGGGGGGAGGACATTGACACAATAATGACTTGCATATATAAGGTCACGGTGTTTGCTTCAAATTTAGCCTCGAGTCAAAACGACCTGCTCACTGTACATGTATATACACCTATACATGTACAGTGTACATGTACATTATATTGCGTCACTTACTGAGGTAGCCACAACTCATGGGAAAAGAAAACATAACACAAACATCAAATAACAAGAACATAGATATTGCCATTCATAATATTTGGAACCATCTAGGTCACTGAATGAAATAGGTTCTTATTCCTCCATGGTTGAACAAAGACACACATACTTATCAATAATTTGCTAAACATCGTGCTCAAATTCAAGAAACTTTTGGAAACGTGAAGCAATCGATGGCAGTATTTGCCATGGGCAGATAATATGTAATATAACATTGATTGTAATATGCGTGTCAAATGGTGCAAGGCGGTACCGTACAAATGACGTCGCTGGTTTCCAACACTTCTGATTTTTTCGCAATGTAGATTTGTTCGTGAATTCTCCGAGCACACCAGACATACAAACTCAGAGCACACCAGCCACATACAAACTCCTGATATATAACAATACCACTGACGGCGTGACTATTGTATTATACCAAAAATGTACATGTATTTTACATATACATGTATGTACATAACAGCTCTTAGCTACCAAACAAGACAACCAACTTTTCTGCATCTTTAAACTTGGGGCGGATAGTCCGTGGCGCCAAAATAAAAAAAAAGGAAGCTGACAATCCATTCATAACTTTCATTTCAACAACAAAACCTCGTTTGAATACACTTTTCACGCTCTAATCAAGTTTGTGAATAAAATCGTGTCCGGGAATCCAATTAACGAGTGATTGTTTTTTATACTCTAAGATCTGAAGTGGCACAGAAAAAACAGCTCCACCGTATTTCGATCCATGGCACTGCCTTTTTTCTCGCCTTGTTCGGTGTGTTTTATTCCTCCATATTCGGTGGCAGAACAAATAAACAACTACTCCGACTTCCAAAACAAACAAGTAAGTCACATTTGTTGACGGTAGCCCAATAATAAATGTTCACACGTAATAAATCACAAGGATATATGACTGCCTATCTTATCAGACATGGCTGACTGCTCCATCACGTACATGTATATGGCAGTTACGAATTTGCCGGTCAGTTGCGCGAAGGGGCTACTGGTGTTACACATTTGAAGCCTTCTCAATTATTTTCAGAATCTTGTTAGTTGAACAATAAACGATGGATAGGCATTAACAGGAATTTCCCGACATTTATCTTCCGTAAATCCAACCACGTATCCCACGGACCTGAAATACATGTAATTTATGCAAACAGGGACACGAATTTGCCAATATTTTTTATGCAGTTATTTACAAAAAATGTTGATTTTTGAAAGCACGTGTATTTTTGCTGATCTTATTCGTTATTTATCTTCTGCTCACGTATCTGTTAGAGCTCCATGATCACTCCATAATCACATCGACTCCTACTTTGCAATTCATGTTCATCTTAGCCTTAGGATCCACAACCCATTTTAGTGGACTTCTTTGTCCTCAAATATCGGTAAAAATTCGCCAGACACCAAACAGTATGTATGACTTAAAGGTTACGTAATACTTTAAATAGGGCAAATCGTGACGTCCCGCCAAGAAGCAACCGATGTACATGTACATATGAATATTCATTCAATATTCCTAGCCACGCCTGTACAAGGACCAAATCAACCGAAAGTTGGTTAATAAGTGACATAATTAAGGACATTTGCACAAGTGCATTTGGCCAGGAAAATTTAAGGAACACAATGACAACAGATCAGAGAAAGGCATTGTGTCCACCACCACTACCTGATTTCATGTCCAGGGATCTGAATCTGCGGATAGTTGCAGAACCTTGAGGGGGTTAAAACACCGCACCGGCAAAGCGCGACCCAAGCAGATTTAAACACACTTTGGATTAGAGTAATCCCCGATGCAAACTCCTTCAAAAGTGAAGGACTCGAGAAGATTAATGATAGAATCAGGCATTAAAACACAAAGTCAAGCTATGGTATTTTAAAGCGTTTAAAACCGACAAGGAAGTGGAATTGGACATTTTAATGACAACTTGATACCAGCGTAACTGATGATACTCCAACAAGTAGGTTTTTAAAATTAATATCTCCCCTACATCTGGATATAATAGCTCAATTCAACCTTATAATAGATTCATCTAAATTGAATTCACATTCCGTGGCAATTCGGACTCAACTTAGATTTATGTAAAAATAGCTGCTTCAAGAATACAACATAAATGCATGTATTGCCTATTTGAAGGTTTCTACCAGCAAATGTCCCTGCTTCAAAATGTCATTTATTTAAAAGGAAACTTGAAAGAAACCCGTCACATTAAAATATTCAATTCTATAAGGCACAAATTTACAGAAATACTCTTCGTAGAAAAACCTATTTCATTATTCACAAAGGCACTGACGACAGTAATAAACTAATCTGTACAAGCTCAACATTTGAGGCTTATTTGCCTAGTTCAGCATAGCTACAAGCCCCTCCAGCAAGATTCAAATTTATTCTGGCTACGTATTCAATTCAAACTATTTACAATCTCTTCACACAAGCCAAGCTGGGCGAAAATATAGACATCTTTCTGTAAGTTAACAGAGAAGTCAGACAAAAATGGAATCAGCACCAAATTATGTATTTCTTTAGATGGATGTTCTTCTCAAAATTTTATTTGTAGAACTTTAGCTCGCAAGCCAGATGAAACCTGTGGAGGAAAAAAACCGAGAAATGAAAGGTTTCAGAGGTGGGGGGAGGGGACAACAGCAACACCTCGTCGCTAACAACAAAAACAAACAGGTCTCAAGGTCTCAGCTAGCTTCAACTTCTGCTGAGCATGTGTGGGAATCGAACCTCAACACCTCGTCGCTAACAACAAAAACAAACAGGTCTCAAGGTCTCAGCTAGCTTCAACTTCTGCTGAGCATGTGTGGGAATCGAACCTCACCACAAAGGCAAAAAATACAGGAAGGACCACTGTGTCCGAGCTAGCCAGGCTAAATTAAGTCCATGACCTTCTCAACTCCAGATCACTGGAGACCTACTTTATTCTGAACCCTGCGTTATTAACCTTGAAAAAGAATAAATGACCCCGTTCCCAAAACCTCTTACTACTGTCAGATAAAACCTTGTGACTTTTCAACCGTATAGGAATAGTAAATAATGCTGTATCAGTTACTGTTCATATTGTGATGGGCATTTTATGCAAACATAAATTCTATTTACTGTTCATGGTAAAACAGCTGCATGATATCAACATGAAATTCTCTTTGGGAAGGTTTATGGTGGAAGATAACTTTTCATATGATGAACACGGTTTGGTATACAAATTTCCTCAGTCAATCTGCATTAAATTAGAAAGAAAGAAGCTATTGATTCAAAAACTTTATTGGAAATTCTCTGGTACATTTATCAAAATTTAAACATGAGGAACAAAATTCTGAATGTTCCAGAAAAAAATAAACAGTTACCCTGTGTATGACAAAAATGTAAAGATGGAATGATTAGTATAGTACTGATAATGTGCAGTTGTTTTGTTTCTAATACAATTTTGTCAGTGGTATACTATAAAGGTAATCATTACACTTCAGCAGCTTAGGCAACATGGACAATTCAGTACAGTAAAACTGGATGGGAACCAGTCAAATTAATGCACATGACATGAGACACAGGCTGGTAATATGATGTTCTCTCCTCAACTGGATCTCTTTGTTTTCTATGCAAAGTTCTTCTTGCGGAGGGACTGTCCATGTGTCGTCAGTTGGACAAGAGTTGAGCATTGGTGGAGGATGGATGTGAGTTGTGATGACTTCCTCCATTGACCAGAACCTTCAGGCGAGAGAGATGCTCCATGGCTCTGAAGACAAAAAGAACAAATTTACCTGACAATAACAAAATCTTCTTATCCAACTTTACTCATTTACTATTCAATTAAGGGTCACAGCAGCTGGCATTTCATTGGTGACATAAGTCTCCCTTCCTTTAACCTGAATGGCTTAAATCAACTGTAGGTTTCGTATTGGAATATTTGATATCAGTATGGGTTTATGAAGACACCACTACACTCAGTACCTCTGAAGAGATTTTCCACCTGGCGCTTCGTCAAAGTTGGTTACACTAGCAGAGGATGACGAGGTGTCTTTGTCTGATAGCAGCCTGTGAGTATTCTTTGGTCCTACACTATCCTGTGAAAAACACAAAACAGCACAAAACAAAAACAACAGTATGAGAATGAACTGAACAAAGTGCATAAATAAGCATGAGATTAATTACAATTTGAGACAGGCAGGAATATTATCCAGAGAGGGGGTGGAGCAATATCTATCATCAAGGAGGGCATTACCAGCATTTGGTGCTTTTGAAACTAATGTCCAAATTCTTGCACTTTTCAAAATTTTCAAATTAAGCTAATTTTCATTAAATTGTTTTACAAATTCATTCACGAACTTAATCACAAAACTGTTAAAAGGGCAACATTATTCGATTTTTGAAAGAGAAATTAGCGGATGCACTGAAATTATCATCCTGCAAGCAAGCTGAATTTCAAGAAATTGATCCATGTGAGAGGCTGAGATTTCACTGCAAAAAACTCATATGGCCCCCCTCCCAAAAACCTTTCTTTTTTTAAATGAACACTTCTCTTATCTTGGGCACATCTTTCAGCAAATTTTTTTTGGAACTGAGAATCCAAATAATCAGATAAGCGCACAGCAGTAAGTTGACATCAGAAATGACCACACTCCTCCACATTTTGGCAGGTGTCATTTGTGACAACCACTTAAGATTCCTGGGATTGTTTCAGATTACAGTTCATTTAATGGCTTGATCCTTAGTGCTTGAATTATACACTTAAACCTTCCCCTGTTTTTTCTGTCTGCATAAAACACCGGTGACTCTGGCCACTACAAATTCTTGTCAGATTATCTGTGTGACTTTTTTTGGGGGGGGAGAGGGGATGTACATTTGGAGCTCAAAATAGAACTGTCGACAGAGTACCCAGCGTTATCCTTCTCCATTAGTTTATGCATCTGGGCCTAATATCCACAACAGTAAATGCATTAAAAAAACTTGGAAATTCACCTTATAAAAGATCAAAGAGACTGCAATACTGTCCTGAGATAAACATTATGGAAAATAAATACACCAAATCACAGACTTTCCTTCTCTGAGTGTGAAGCTGGACAAAGAAGTGTACCACCAGTGTATACCGGTAGCAGTCCAATAAAATTTGCAATGAACCTTTTTTATTTCTTAAACTCAGAGTTTATTTACAGTTTTCTTCACAAGGATCTAAGCCCAGATTTTCCTAGGCGGGCCTTCCTTTGCAGCACAATGAAAACCTTTTCTTGGTCAGAACAAGTTGAAGTGTCCGAGGGGGCTTTTGGCACTTGTGCACAAGTAAACATTAGGTACCAGGGTTGTGTCTGTAAGGCATTTGTGAAAAAATCCTGACTAATGCTATTATAAACACCACACACCACACCGGTGGTGTTATGTTGGGACTTTATGTTGGGGTAAATCTGCAGATTTCTTTATCTCATCACTTAAGTACAAGGACAGGTTCCATGTTTGGCTCTTTTGTCAAATTCCAAAAGAGTGAAAATTTAGTGAAAAATGAAGTTGACTTATTTTTTCAAAACCTGGCATTCACCAATCTTTTGAAAGCTGAATTTTACTGACATGTGGAACTGAGGCAGGATCACATAATCCCAAGTTACAGGAAGCATATGCAAAGACAAAATTCTTAACGAACCACAATCTAACCATCAGCTAAAAAGGAACCAAGAAATCGCAGAGCTAGGTTGAGGGAGAGGATGGCACAATGGAAGGTTGCCATATAAGTTGAAAAATGTACTTTGGGAAACAATACACATAGATCTCACAAAGAATAGCTTTGTAATTGTAGTACTGCATGCAACTCTGCTGATACTCAAGTGTCTTCAGTAGAGGGAGCCACACTTTGCCAAACCAGCTGTTGTATTGTAAATCACTGCTCCCTGGTGACAGGGAAAACAATCCCAAAATATTAATTTATGTGGGAGGCTTGGCATTCGCGGGTTTGATCCAGCAACAGGTTGCGCATATTAATAGGTGTATTTAGCGCATTTCAGAGGTCAGGAAGAGAGCAAATTTATGTTTGTGCAAAAATGTGGTGTTGGGGGGGGGAAGGCTTAATTCTATTTTCATTTATATACAAAAATACCATCCTAATGGACGAATTGGGTCATGAGTTATTTTCGGTTGATAGATATCCATCTTGTTTGTTCCAGAACTCTACTCCCAAAAGTTATGTTCTATTTTTTTCTTCCTCAACGGAAAAGATATACATTCCATGGACAAGTCATGGACTGGTCACAGACAACCCAAAATCTCGGGTGTCGACCCTTGGCCATGATGACAAAGACTTGAATTTGAAACACTTTCCCTAATGAATGCTAATCACTACAAACTTGAGACTCAACAGCCAATGTTTCAGGCTTGAAGCACTGCTCTCTGGAGAGCTGCTTTGTGTTTATCTACATGTACAGCCATTCTGGATTTCTGATCACTGAGCAGTTTGGGGGAAGGCAGGACACTTTTGGAAAAGCATTTCTGAAGCTTCCAAGGTTTCCAGGATCAGCTGAAATTTTGTCAATTGACAAAAGGCACGAAAGACCGCAATGCCTTTACAAAGCCTCTTGAAGGCATTTCTTAGTTGGTTTTGGCTCTGTTGTTTGGTACTATTTTGCAGCCACAAGTTGGAACATCAAGAATGTCTTCTCTCTGCAAGCATGCACAGCATACAGAGCAAGTTAATTTATCTGAATGCTCACATGCTGAGCTGACATCAGCTGATGCCAGTGATGTCAGCATGTGTAGTGTTTCTTGGCTCTATCGGATCACCATCTAATGCCAGTCTGTCCAGGGGGCCTAAGCCTAGCAGGTCAGGGGGCAACAGTGAGCTTGCCGGCCACACTCCTGCATCAAGGACCTTAAAAGACTTGCATGACAGGTCAACAGAACAGCTGCTGACTGCTGCAAAGATATTATCTTCCTCCATGATATTCCAAGGAGAAAAAGTATTCAGCAAAACAGACAAATATCTAGATATAAACAGCTCTGCTGATATCCACACATAGTTGCTTGAAGTGTGTGAAGTCTAAAAGTTGCAAACTAGAGCAAATTGTGCACTCCATCTTGGTTTTTTTTCACCCACACACTTTTCTTACCTCTATGCTTTATAACACTTTCACCCACTTGAGTTCTAACTGACTGACAAAGGTTTATGGGGTGTTGTTTCAGATTGACCCACTTATATATAAAGTTGCCTGGTCGTCCAGAACTATACTGCAGTGGAAGTCAGGGATTTGCTAAGAAAACACGGCTAGGAAGCCACTCTGCTTACTGAAAAGAATTACCTGGCACTGTTAAAGCGAACCACATATAAAAAAGAGCGGTTAGATGTTGGCTAATGACAACAAGAAGAATTCCTGTGAGGATGATCAAAGTTACTGGCCTCGCATTTTTTTTTAAATCTTCAATTTTTTATGATCACCATCAATCTTTATCTCTGCAATCACTATCTGTCACCGCTAACACCTAAGCTACATATGTTGTTTCCTGATGAGACAAACATGGTAATGGGTGCTACTTAGTCCTGTGGGTGGAGTGGGTGGAAGGGAGGGGTGCAGAGGGAGGGATAATTGGCCTTGCTGCAGCCATCCTATCCTTAACGAGTCACAAACACACCATTAACACCAACTACCACTATCATCATCCTCCTATTGATGGAGGAAGCCCTATCATCCCCATGGCTGATGCAGCTTCACAGAACTACAACCAGTCAAGTTGTTCCTTTGACACCAGAGTTTATTAGCAATTCACACCAGTTGCATCTGGCATCTCAAATATTTATGTACATTGTACATGTATACCAAAAAACTTGGAGCACTCAAAGCTGAAATCCAATGCCAGGGTAAAGGTTGAAGTCTCCTAGGGTTTCATTTCAATGCACACCAGCATCTAGAAATTAATCAAGCACAGATTGCTACAGGTTACAGGCTGTGACATGAATGGCCCTGTTGTATGGTGTGGTCGGTTGGGTAAACTATGACAAGAAGCCTAGGTTGTCTCCATTACATTCTTGTCTATCAACACCAGAGTGGAATGGAATGAACTCTGACCACCTCAACCACCACTTGGAAACTATCACTCCATTGCAAATTGCCATGAACAAATTCTGGGTTGACAAAACCAAGTTTTACCTGGAGGACAAAAAAAAATGTGCTGGGCTATTTCATTGAAAACTGAACGTCTCTCCTCCATATACTCCATGGACCTTTCTTGTTGGAAATGGAATTCCCTAGTGCTCCTAGGTTTGGGAGGAATGCGGAACTGCAGCAGATTTTTGCTGAATTGAGGAAGTTCCTGCATGCCCAGTTCTACTTGGAACTTGATTTCTTGTCATTTCCTGTACAAAGAGGACTTTCGAGGATTTGGAGTGGTTCATTCCCAAATACCTAGAAAGTTACAGCCAATGATCAAAGTTTTTAATGAATGAACTTAACCATTCCCAAAATTGTGAAACCATTTTTCTTGGGAAAGCTGTAAACACCCCATGTCTGTTTACTGAATGAATCAACAAACAGCAACAACTGGTGAAGAACAAAGTCCACACAGACCTATCCTTTGCCAATTTTTTTCTAAGAATTTGGGATTTTCTGGCCACAAATCTAACTCAGACACTGTGGTGGCTAGCCTGTTGACCACAACAGCCTTAACCTGAAAACCTGACCTCAAGACCACCTCATGGAAACAACTTTCTGTCACAATACAAGACTGATTATTGTTTTTCATTTTGCTATTCATGATGCACACATCATTGGCTTTCGACACAAAGAAATGTGACATGTTTTGTCCAAACCAGAAATGTCAGGGCAGAGCTTGATTTAGGGAAAAACAAGAGGAAAAAAACATGGTTTCGCCCGTTTGACCAAGAACTTTAAAAGGGCATCATTCATCCAAAGATGGTCTATTTCTAAGCCTACTTATTTCAGCCAAGGCAATACCATTTTTGACCCTCTGCCCAGGAGGGACTGGTTTTGACAAAACAATTCACAAACATCCGAGGGGGGGGGGATCTCCCCGCGGCAGACTGTGGCAATGGAGTCTGTGCCTACAGCCATTGCAGGCGTTAGTTCCCTTA